ATACGGGCTCCCCCTAACCGGACAACAGAAGATTGGAAAAATGTTGCCTGGTCTGCTGAGTCTCAATTTCTGCAGTGACACTCAGATAGTAGGGTCAGAATTTGGAGTAAACAACATGAAAGCTTGAATCCATCCTGCTTTGTATCAACGGTTCAGGCTGGTGGTGGTATGTAATGGCACACTCTGGGCCTCTTAATACCAACTGAACATTATTTACGCACCACAGCTTACCCGAATGTTGTTGCTGACGATGTCCATCTTCTGATCAAACTGGTTTCTTAAACATGACTGTGAGTTCAGACTACTCGAATGCCCTCCACAGTCGCCAGAACTTAATCCAACAGAATCTGAATGTGGTGAAGGCAGAACAGGTCCTAACACAGTTTTAGGAACCTAATTACTACCTAATAAAGTGGTTGGTGAGTGCATATAAAAGTGTGAAATTTAAATTAAATCTCTAATAGGTCTGACTCACTGTTAGACTTTGGATATTTCTAAGACATGTCTAAATTTCTCAGTTTCTCAGTTTACAAAGCTTCAGATTTACCATCCAGATATGATAGAGAGAAAAAGCCGTTCATTTAAATCTCATCAGGAAAGTAAATAAGTAAATAATTTCCAAACTTTCAAAACTCAAAAATGCTTTAATATATATTGATAGTGCTTAATCATCTGAATGTGTGCATAGCTACGTTGACCTGCCTGGATATTCAGCCAAGATGGGAACTCTGTTTCGTGATCCTCAAGAAGGAGAACCCGGTGTGCAAACCATCCCTCTCACTAAGATTGTTTGCGGACCTTCTGAGTCTCAACTGGTCATGCTACAACTGGAATAGTGTGTACTGTCAAGTCCCACCAGCACACACACACATGCATGCATATGTACACAGACATATACCTAAAAGTCCTCCTGACTCTTTTTCCTCCTCCCTTTCTGTAGCCCGGCCGAGTTTAATGCGCGTGTCTCTCAGATTTGCCTCCCTCCTGAGCGCTACATTGTAAGCGAGGGGACGAGGTGTGAAATTGCAGGATGGGGCGAGACAAGAGGCAAGTATAATCCTCCGGAAGTGCCGTCTTCACGCAGTACCCTTCTACTTTGAATAATTAATAAAAGGTGTCTTCCTTAGAACGAGCATCTTGTTTCTGCCCTTGAAGTAATGTTTCTTCTAAATGAGGGCTATCCAGGCTACTGAGCAACAGATGGCACTGCTATTTTCAAAATCTTTCAACAGCTGTCCAACTTCCTTTTCGTTTCACTGTGCCTCTAAATACATTAGCTGCTAACTAATTCCTTCTTCTTAATCTTTTTCAAGGGACTGGTAATGAGGCTGTCCTCAATGTGGCCCACATGTCTGTTATTAGTAACAAGGAGTGCAACAAATACTTCAGAGGTCGTGTTCGTGAAAATGAGATGTGCACAAACGCCTTCCAAGCTGGAGTAGGCGCGTGCGAGGTACGTATCTGCGTAAAAGTGGTGGACCATTTCAAAACTTTGCCGCTGTGATGTTACAGGAGAAATGCAAGGTCCCCTGCTTGAAGTGGTTTCTTAACCAAGTGATAACAGAAACACAGCACTGACCATCTTTGGTATTAATAGCTGTAAAAATTAATAGAATAGTTTGATGTTTAAAAATGGGAAAGTACGTGCTTAAACTGTGAGTTTAAGAGACACTGTTTAAATGTTCTCTTAAGCTGTGAGTTTATAAGGTCCTGGTAGGTGGATTTCATTACCTTTGGGCAGAGCCGATCCAGCTGGTTCCACCAGCTGTTTCCGCCGCTGTTTGTGTTAAGCTAAACTAACCAACTGCTTGTCTAGCTTTGTGTTAAAAGTGCAGATACTTGAAACCCCCGGCAAGAAAGTGAACACAAGTATCTTCCCAAAGTGTCAAACTATGTTCCTTAAGTGCCACAAAATAACGGCGTAACGTGTTAGGACTTAACGCTTCAAATACTGATGGTTGGGAAAACTGTTTGATAATGAAAGTTACTTTAAGCAAAGCACATACAGTTATTTATATGTTCCTATAAATCAAACACAGTCACCAGTTGGATAATGGAAGTGAACTGGACAAGATGTGACTGCAAGATGTTTCTAACTTCAGCAGTGACAGTCAGTCATAACAGAGACAAATAATGACCCCGGAGTGTTGTTCCTGTGTGTCTGCAGCGAGACTACGGCGGACCTCTGGCGTGTCAGAACACGGACTGTTGGGTACTCGAGGGGGTGATCATCCCCATGAGGCGCTGTGGACACCCGGGGCAGCCCAACATCTTTATCCGCGTGTCTATGTACGTGGACTGGATAAAGAAAGTCATGGAGATGGCTTAGAAAGAGAGAGCGCCGTTAAACACAGAACTGATTATTCTGAGTGTTATCAAAACTTGCGAGACCTTTTCATGCGCTGAACATGTACACGTTTCCTCTTCTCAGATGCCTCTTTGTCTATAAAATCTATCCCTAACACAAATCCAGATTTATAATTAGAATGTGTTATATGACTTGTATTACTATTACATTACTATAATATGAAAAAAATGTTTTGTAGTAATGCATCTTTTGGGATTTCTTCTGTTATGTCTGCATTACATCTGCGTGATTTAATGAATCCTTTCAGTCGCAATAACTAACATTAGGTGGATCAGAATCCATTTTTTTTCGTTGTTTTTTTTTTTGTTGCTGCTGGCAGCCAGAAACCAACAGATATGCCAAAATAATAAGAACTCAACAATCACGCACGCTGACATGCAAAATAAAAAGCCATGCGGAAAAGGTTCATCATAAAAATGTGAGCTGCTTTTCAGTTTTACTTTGATGAGATTTTTCATTTTTATTACCACTACTTTTCCAGTCTTTATTCGCCTTTACCCTGATAAATGTTTATCTGCTCACAACTACTTTTTCTTTCTTTTTTTAAAACCTTTTTTTGTAATGTCTATGCACCACAAACAGGCATTAAAGGGCTTCTAATTTTGCCCGTTTTTGCACCAACTTCTAAAAAGATTTAAAAGCTTTCAAATGAATCAAATCAAATATAGCTCCCGAAGAGTCAGAGGAAAATATCGTCCCTAATTAACTTCCAGTTAGAGCAGGGGTGCAGAGGTTTACGGCACAGTTTCGGAGTTCCTAACATCCCCTGGAAATGCACCCTTTATTGCAAAACTGTACGCCTCCCCTGCTCTCCCTGGCAATGAATGGAACTCCGAAATACCTTCTTTGCCCCCAGCCTCTAAAGAAATCCCTCCTCTGCCTGTCTTTTGATGCCTGCCCCCACCTCTAAAGACATGCCTTTGTGCCTTATGCAGAACTGTATGCGCTGCACATTCTTTCTAGTTCTATAGGAGGATTTTTGTAACGCGGTCCTGATGAGCCCACGGAATTCAGCTTAAATAAACCTCAAGATCAGAGTCCAACCGAATCTCAGACACACCACACGCCGCGGAAGGCCAGTGAACTCTCTCATACATTGACACACACACACACACGCATAATTTCTCTCTCGCGACCCCCCCCTCCTCCCCACCACCACCACTACCACCTCCTCCCCACCACCACCACTACCACCTCCTCCCCTACCTCTACCTTCTCCCCCATTCTATCTTTCTGTGTCTTTCTCAGTAAAACTTAAACTTTTTTTTTTATCTCAGATAATCCCAAGATTTATGTTTATATTTGTTTGCAGAAATAGAACCCGATAAGAGAAAAGCTTAGACCGCGTTCCTGTCTAACTGATGATGGCCAGTTATGCTCCTGTTCTATAGTGTTTGGAAACAGCAGACTGGCGGTTGTGATTTCAGAGTCATCCTGTTCACTTTCATTTAGTAATATTTATAGTAGATGACTAATGAAAATTTGTATATGACTACCAGTTCTAAGTAACTGTTGACAAAAGCTGCTGGGAACCCCGACTGAAATCTGTAATAAATGCTGCCATAAAAAAACATGCAGATGTTTTCTTCTTTATTTTGCTTTTGTGCATTTTATGGTAATAACCTGAGACATATAGGCTACGTTTGGTTGAATTATTATTATTTATTTATTTTTATCTGGTTTTGCAAGATGTTCAGTTTAAGAATGTTTTAATTACATGATGAAAGTGACACTGCAAATCACCCAAACTAATCTCCGTGCTTCATCTTATTTAACTTAACGCTTTATATTTTGGTCGCACGCCAACGTGTTCACCTGACATGACTCCGTGAGCGGTCCAGTGGCAGCAGCAGCTGCCCCTGGAATGTGTATTCTCTGCGGTGGTTCAAACATTTCCATCCAATTTTTATCAGTTTGTGTAAATGCAAAAAGTTACATCTTGAAAATATATTATTTTTAGGGTTTTTTTTCCAGCTGCACACAGGCAGCATGTAAAGCAGAAATCCACACAGAAAGGGATCTTTTAATCTAAAAATGCTCCATGTTGACTTATTGTTATTTCATTATTATTATTTGAAAATAAACAGTTGTATAATTTTTTTAATAACTGGGCTACACTTGTTAAAAGTACTTGAATACAAAATCCAAAGATTGCATCTAATCGCAACTTTTTGCGTGCTCTATAAGTTTTTCTGCTGATGACTTCAAATGCTCTTTGCACAGTTTTTGAAATGAGCTGAGCCGGGGTTACATTTTCCCCTAAAGAAAATGTATATGATAGTGCTGCTGAGCAAACTTTGTTCTTCTGAAACTCCATTTGATGTTTTATTCCTTTATGACACAGTTAACATCTCTTAGCACTGTAGGTGGGGAGATAACAGAGGGACAGAGAGTGAAACTTTTTGCTTGAAACAGTGCAGACAGTCTGCTCTCACAACTCTGTTCTGCTGAAACAAACTGAACCTTTTCCTCCCTTCTTTGGGGAACTTCCCAGCCCCCAAACCCCACTTTGGGAACCCCGGAACCAGACCCTCCTGTCTGATGCCCGTCTTTCTCCCTCTTAAGTGGGTGGTCCAGGGAGCTTTTAGGGGCGGGGTCCGCTGTTTCAACCCTCCTACCCTCGTTCTTTCTTGAAACATGCTTTAATAGAGAAAGTATGCAATGCATACAGCTCTGCTACAACCCCCCACTATACTGCATCTGGGGTATTCGTGACTGGACGTCTGGGGGATCACACACATTTCCGATTAGGAGGAGGGAGGGAGAGAGAGAGAGAGAGAGAGAGAGAGAGAGAGAGGGAGAGAGAGAGAGAGAGAGAGAGAGAGAGATTACCCTTTCATTCCAGCCAATGAGACGGTCGATACACTAAGATTTTCATAGTTGTGCAGGAGCACAAAGTGGAGTGAGTGTGTGTGAACTTCCAGGTAAAACTGCAAACCAACTTAAGGTAAGTCGAACCGCCTCTGCTCCCTCTGTTATTTGGCGCTGGCTGCATGGGCAGGATTGCTCAGCCAGAACATGGAGCCTATAGCCTAAATGTATGTCCTGCTTTTGAAAGCAGAGGTTTTGCACCTGTGTTGCTTGCCTTTGTCCTTGGCAATGTTTTTTTTTCCTCCTTCTTCCTCCAGCTCTTTCTAGCACACGGTTCATCCACTTTGGCGAACCTGTTATCGGTCCAAAAACCCAAACACATTAGAGATCGATTGCGCAAGTGATGGAAGCAGGGGGATGTTGTTTGGTCAGCGTCGACTTTACGCTTTAAAACACTGCTGGCCTGTTGCTCGACTGTTGTTTTGGCGTTTGCATGTGCCAGTTACCAAACTCAAGTCGACGCTTTGGGCTCACGGCTTCGCTTCAGGAGCGCCTCGCGCACCTTGGTAAACGCTGTAAAAGAATGTGTTTTTATGGTTGCAATTGCCGCCCATATGCAAAAAGTACATTCAGTCCCGTACTTGACTGCCAAACGCGGACTAGTTGAGCGGACGGTCTGCTGCTGCAAGAGAAGTGCACGTCGCCTGTTGAGCTGTTTGGAAACGAGTTTTAAAAGCGACGAAACGACGTCGTGCGTCTCGTTTGGCTTTAAATCGTTTCAAGCGAGGACGTATTTCTCAAATTACTCCGACTTCCTGCTTCGGTGCAGCCGTTTTTGATAGGCTGTGTTGGCAATTAGTGTTTGGCACATTCCTCGCAGAGCTGCCCGTTGTGGTAAGCGACCACCTTGGGACATTACCAAAAGTCAGTTTTAAGTGGTTATTTATTGTTTGTTCCACCCATGGAAATAAACCCATCACGTTTACAAATGGTTCGACCAGTGATCAAAGTGGAATATACAATGTTTACAGTACCAGTGCTATTAATCAGGCCCGTGATGGGCTGCAACTAGAGCTGAAACAAGTCAGTCGACAAAATAATTCACCAATTGATTTTTTTTTAATTAATTTATTAATTTATTTTTTACAAAGACTTAACTGGCAATTGTTGTGAAAATCGATTTAACGTGAAAAGTAGTTTTTTTTGGGGTTTTTTTTTGCAAATGTATATAATGCAAACGTTATAGCCACCTGAATGTTGGTCAGGCAGTCCAAGCGACACGAAGACGTCCTGAAGGGCTGCAGGAGCTGTGAGGGCCATTTCTCGCCATTTTATTGAGTAGACAGTTAATCAGCTGTAAAGGCCTATTTAGAGATTACAGATTTACTTTGTAAATCTATCTTTTTGACCAAACCAAATATATTCACCTAAACCTTACACATTACTATAAGAAATTAAATGACTCTTACATTATCCAAATAGCTGTAGCTTTATTTCCCAGTTTTGCACTACAGGCTCCAAACTGTAAATTTACTAGCAGTTTCAATTCTTTTTGTTAAGTTTTTGCATGTAGCGTCTTTCATTTCTTGCAAATCATTGTCTGAGTTGCACAAGTTTTATGTCGCATCACCACACGTACAACATGCAACGCCTAGCAGAGGGCAGATGGAAGTGGGGAGTGTAGTACAGTAGATGCAGATTTTGGATGGTAGATTGAGTTGTGAATATCTGTGCTACTTTTAGTCTCTGCACACCATTCTCATGTTTCCTTGCATTTGCCAGACCCCTGTCTGTGTTCCGATGAACTTGGTGCCAAGGCTTATGTATAAGCAGTTCCCACGCTTGCTCTTGGAAAAGAATCCTGTGTGATCCTGAATTATCCTGTTAATGATGTCATTAAGCACTGATTGGAACTCATTGTGGTAATTGTGCAAAAAGAAAATTATTTGAAGTGGTATAATAGAGCTGATTATGCTAAATTTGTCAGAGACGATTGCTGCGCTGCATTCAAAACGAGTCATTTTTTCCAGGTTCCTTTGCTCGCATCTCCAGCTCCTGATACTCAACTCTGCTCCTCTTTAAGCCCTCGAGGCCGCTGCTCCAGGCTTTGATGCCCACACAGTTTGAAGCAGGTGGACAGACGCAGGCATGAGTAACAGTGGGACCAAAGAGCCATCTCCTCAGCCAAGCACTGCCCAGTCACCTCCTGAGCCTCAGCGTAGGGGCAGAGGTCGACCAAGGAAACAGCAGCAGGTAGGACTCCATTTATTAAGCATGTGAATGTGATGAGCTTTGCCTTACTGAGCCGATGGCGTGTTTACATCTACTAGATCCGCATCTAATGTTTCTTCACAGGAGCCTGTTGGACCACCAACTCCAAAGCGGCCAAGAGGACGACCAAAAGGCAGCAAGAACAAAGGCCCCAGAACTGCACTGAAGGTTGAAACTGATCAGAGTATAATTTCATCACAGTTAATTTGTTTCAAATAACCAAACATTACATAATTGAAATTGGCATAATAAGAAAGCTGAAATGGATGCAGATGCTTAGGGTTTAGTGGCAGTGTCTGCACTTTTAAAAAAATAATTCAGACTTTGCAATCTTAGTGGGCTTAACTTTGCGATGTACCTGTGTTAGTGAGGGTTTTTTTGTGTGTAATACAATTTAATTCAATTATACTTTTGTGGCTACAAAGCAGCCATCACGGGGCAAAAATGAGGTTGCAAAACAGACAGAAAGAAAGACAAGCTCAAGTTAAATCACTGCAGTTTTTATGCCTCATGCGTTATTATTCTGACAAATAAAACATTGTCTTGTCAGGAACAACGATTACATTACATAAGTGGTTGGAAGTATCAGAGTGGATGGACTTCCTTACACCACCTTGCTTACACCAGCTTTAAAGACTTATTTTACTGTAAAGATCAGCAATTTTCTGGCAATAGACTCGTGAATGATTTGATTAGTCTTTTCCCATATAAACCAACCAATATTCATCGTTTTGCTGCTTGTAAAATTAGACAGACATTTGTGTGCATATCAAAAAATTAGGTTTCACTGTAGTTTAAAAATAAAGTAAAGAAAACTTGCTGTAGAAGGTGTGACATCATCATCATCATCATTGATCCGCATCTTGTAGTGGATCAACTATTTGGCTAATCATACAAAAATATGCTGAAAAATATAATTTGAAAATTTTCTGTTTTGTCAGGAGACATCAGACTCACAAGATTTCTTTTTTATTCTTCATCACTAGCTGTGAGGGGGAAGTGTTATTGTCAGGCAACTGAGCTTGTTAAACTTGTTACAACATGGCAGAGAGAGGTATTTCATGTGTAAGCCTGCAATTAGACATGGCAAATCACACAAATCCATCCTTTGTGTTTTCAACCTGAACATTTCTCAGAACAGAATGATTTTAAAGAAAAGAACTCCACGAATATTAATTTAAACGTTCCTCTTTAATTGTTTAAAATCATTTTACTTGGTTGTGATAGGCCAAGTAAACTTTGCACATGCTGATGCCTGCGAAAACTTTAATTTGGCATATTGTTCATCTGTGCAGGCACTGTACATGCATGCATCTCCTACCCCTTACATTTTTTTTTTTTTTTGCACTAAATTCTGAAGTTTTGTTTCAACTGTTGACTTTACCAACAAGAGTTGTACAGCCCCATCAAAGTATTCACCAAAATGTTTCTTTAATTAAGGAAATGGTGCCACTCCTGAGAGGGGTGTTCCCCCCTTGACCTACAGGAAACTGTATCTAGCAAATAAATATGGCTGCTGGATTGAAGATTGAAAAACTACAATACTCTAAAGAAAACCACAGGATTTGTGTTTTCAACCGTTCTTCTCTTCCTCTGCAGAAAGTAGAGCCCATTGGAGAGAAGCGACCACGTGGGCGACCAAGGAAATGGGTATGAAGCAATCACTGACATTCATGGAGTTAATTGTAAATGTGTGTCCAAAGCCTCCAAGGTGTCTGTGTATGCTGGAGCTGAGCAGTCCTTGAGGGCCCGTTTTCCTTCATGTTTAATTAATTCTGCTGCCTCTCTTTTCACAGCCCCAGAAAGTAGTGCTAGAAGTAACTGAAGAACAGCAGGTGAGGAAAACGAAATCTTTAAAGGGCAGTAGGGTGGTCCGGTTTTGTTTTGATGTAGCACTTTGAGACGCAGGTTCCCACAACTGAAACGCTGTTGTTGTTGTTGTGAAAGTGCTGCTGTTTGAATAATGGAATTAGGGCCTGTGTTTAAGATACGCTTGAGACAACTTCACAAAATAAAGTAAACCACTTAACATTCACAGCCGCGTTCCCCACTATATCAAATTTATGGCTTAACAAACTTAGCAGTGGCTTTGCGGCGGAATCCTTAAAACATTTACAATCATCAAATCATTGAAGTCTCTTGCAGTGTAATCTGTATTATTATAAGACACTTTCAGAGTTTGTGACTGTGGTGTAATGTGAGCCCTGCTTCAGTTGGGCAGAAATCTCATTTTGTGTCATACATTTACCTTTTGACTAATGTCAGTTACATTTATGTTGTGAGACCTGCAGTGCTGATTTGCATAGCTTATCTTATTTATTAATATCAAAAGTTCATCATCAAAAAAAAACTACATTCAAAAGTCCCTTGTACTTTTTAGTGAAGCTGCAACTAAAACAACACGCTATAATCTGGCCTGCAAACTCTACAGGGTGAGTAAAAAAACAACAAAACAAAAACATTAACAGTTGCGCAAGTAGTGTATGCACTGTACATTTACATAACCAGTCTACTCACAAGTTTTGATAAATACCTAAAACGAAGAGCAAAATACAAAAAAAAAAATGTCTAACATTAAGTTTTAAAATATTGAATCTGCTTGAAACTAGTAGGTAAAGGTTTCTAGAAAGTTGCACCAACTAGTGATGAATATTTATATAATACAAATAAATATTTTCTACTAAATGTTATTTGCCCCCTTTAAGATATTTAATATAGTATACGCAGTAACTTACAAACTTAAGTCCCTAAAACGACATGGTGTTGACATGTCCTCGATGACGCTGCAGATACTATTTTTTTTTTTAAGCTGCCTTTAGTCCTGGTAGGATTTACTGATAGCAATAAAAGTGAGACAGAGAGAGAGACATGATGGAAACACAGCCGCTAATCTACTAGGCTCCGCGGGTTATATAAAATTAGGCTTAGTGATGTGCAGCCTGTTGACTTTAAACTGGTCCCATCAGAATCCCATCCTCTGGCTTTGTCATTTTAACAGTAAAGTCCTTTATGCTATATGTATACACTCAGCTGCCACTTAATGCATTAAGTGTCACCATAACGCTCATGGTCCATATTCTGAAAAGTGTCCAGTTAACTGCCTGATAAATTTGCAGTACTGTTGATCTGTATTGCAGTACTGGTAAAGTAGCAAGTGACACCAGTGACAGAACAGAAATGCCTCTTAGTGTCAAAATAAAGCCTTTCCTTATATTTTTCTGTATCTGTTCATGGAAGAACATCCCAAATAATTCCATCTTCTGAAAAGTGCCCCAAAATCTAACAATTGTAAAAGGGAAAGACTTTCAAGAAGCGAAACTGCCTTGTTTCCAGGGTACTGAAGCACATTGTCTTTAATTAATCCTTTTTACTCCCCTGCATGTTGCGTATCTGCTCTTTTTAAATATATGGATTTCACTTTGCGCAATGCTGTGTTTCAGTTCAGTACTCCTAGGATTTGTGTATGTTATAACCTTCTCAGGCCTTGGCACATTTTACTAAAATGCAACTATAAAACCACTTAAAAACTCATTACCTTAGCACATTTGATAGCAAAGCTGTCAATGCACATGCTTCTTGCGCTTCATGTACACTGACTTCATGAGGATATGCCAAATTCTTGAAAATTCACAGATGCCGTTGCTAAATTCCCCAGATAAACCGCCAGAAACATCGTCTTGTGACACCAAGTGCTTCTCTGTAACTTTGGTTCGTTTAGCCCTTTTTTTTCTTCTTCTTTTTTTTTTTTGAATTTCAAATGAAGTTGCACAACAGTTCTCACCGAAGCGGGGCAGTTCTCTTGATGCCCCTCGTGTGTCTTATCGCATCCTCTCCACTAAGCAGTTTGTCAAAGGGGTTGAGATGCTTTAAGAACTGAAACCGTTGAGACAGACTCCATTTCTCAGACGCACACACATGAAGGGGAAGAATGAGTCAATATAGTGAGGGGAAACCTGCTCTAACTGTTCTCTTCCCCTGTCTTTTTGGTTTCCTGATGTAACCGTCATCTTCCTCACATTTCTGGGTCTGACAGCTGGAACCTGCTTCCTCGCACGCAATCGCTCCATGAGATTTTAACAGTCATTCTTGTATTCTCGTGCGTTTTCTAGTATTGATTCATGTGCTTGAGCATCATGAGTCAGTAGACCAAAAGAGATAACAACAAAGTGAAAAAGTGTTTTGGGTTTTTTTTGTTTTTGTTTTTTTTTGGGTGTCCTGCTGTTCCAGGGCGCTTCAGAAGAGGCTGAGGAGGGTCCCTCGTCATCTCAGGCGGCAGCACAGGAGGAAGGGGAGTAGATAGGGCACCTCTCTACCTACCTCAAGGTTTGGCCTCAGATAAACAGGGGTTTAAATCTGACTCCTATCTGTGATGGGGATTCAGGAACACACAGACACACACACGCTCAAAAGTAATTGCAGTCAGTAATTTCTTCTCCTGATGTGATACCTTGGATTTGTTATAAATTTTTTAAGAGTTTTAGATTTTTGGTGAGCAAACTGTGTTTTAACATTGGAGTATTTGATCTTTCAGTAAGGTTTATTGAATAGGAATAGTTCCACTTTTTGGGAAATGCACTTGAGACATACCATTTTCACATATAAATATGCCGTTCATACCTGCAGCATCTCTAAAGCTCGCACACACATATTGTCTCATTTCTGAAATCTAAAAATGTAAAAGCAGTTTTTGTGGTCGTTTTAGACATGCCTGCTTCTCATGTGACTTTAAGCAGTAAAGGAAAAACAAAAAGGGTGCATTTCCCATAAAAATTGAACTATTCCTACAAGTATGCCAGCTTTCCTGAGCCCCTTAGTGTGCATGGTTGCGTGTGAGCGAGTGTGAGCGCGTGTGTGCGGCGGTTGCATGGAGAGGGGACTAGGCTGCCGGCTGAAATGAGACTGGTTAAGAAAAACAAAGGAACCAAACTGAATCGTTTTTATTGAAACATGTTTCTAAATCAAATATCACAAACCCTCGTATGAAACATCGTTACAATATAGACATGGTGCGCTGAAGTCATTATGATGAAAGTTGTGTGAAAGGTTTAAACTGAAAATGAAATATCAAATTATTTGAGGGGCGGGGCAGGGGCTCCTTACAAAAAAAAAGAAGATTAAATTGGATCCAGGGTTTTGTTTTTCTTCAATCCAGCAGCTGATTTGAGAGAAATTATTTGAATATTTCATTTAGAAAAGAGAAACCCTTCACACATCATTTAGTCAACAAGGATGTTGACATGTCATGTTTTTTTTTTTCACTCAGGATTTCACTATTAACAGTGCTTTTACACCATATTGAAACCTCAGGTACAAAACTATTCAGGAACATGTTGTCTACTCAGAAATAATTATGGTGCTGTGTTTGTTGTGCATTTCTGATCTGTATTTGACATTACCAGTATGCCTTGACACAAAGACCTCATTTAAACCTCAGTTACCTTCAGCTTCTTAATCTCTCATTCTACCTCAGTAACACAAAATGATCTCCTGCAAAGTAATCCTTCGCTCCCTCAACAGTGATATACACAATTACTGTACACACACACGCGCGCAAACACACACAGGTTTTTGTGCAGATATACAGTACGATTACACACGAGGTTTTCAGGGCTGCAGGCCAACATGTGGAAGCAGATGTTACACTCCAGTCGGGGAGTACAAATAAAAGCATCAGTATATATATTTTTTTTTAACTGTATTTGATATAAACTGAAGTGAGATTTTGTTTGTTTGCTCTCCTGGGAAATAAAATGCAGCCAATAGTTTACAACAACCTGATGAAATACTTGCTTTTTAGGGTGCAGTTCCTCATGAAATACTTGTTTTTGGTTTTTGGGGGTGGGATGGGGATTGTTATTCTTTTCTCATTTTTATTCTATCATGTATTTTCTGATTCTTACACTGTAAATTGTATGTGTGACACTCTTAATACATGGCAGCAAATAACCACAAAGTGCTGAAATACATAAGCGTTATGGCTAACTTCAGGCACCGGCCATACCAGACCGACTAAGGCTATAGCAACAAAACACCTCGTTGTACTGAAGGTATTGGGAGTGCGTTTTATGGTCTATCAATTAAACAAGTTTAACTTTATTTAGTTTCATAGAGAGGAAGTGCATCATATCTTGTTGCAAATTTTACAGTCTTCCTTTAAAGGATTGTTTCACTTACCTCTAAAAGCATGCAGCTACACAGCTACAGTACGTACACCTCAATGCAACAAAGGGCATGGGATTTATTTTGTGGTGCTTAATGAACATTTTCTGTTGAAGCTACTTTCTACTTAAGAAAATGTTGACAAAGTGGTTTAAGACTTGTCCACACTAACATACTGTGGTAACTCCCAGTCTGTAAGAACTCTATAAATAAAACTCAGTTCATCTCCATTGCATTCAGAAATCTTTAAAAAAAAAAAACGAAATGGGAGATTTTCAAATAGAAACATTAATTCAGAACTAGCTGCATGCCACCAGAAAAAGTGAATGTAGTATTTTTCACCATGAATACAGTACTGTGCAAAAGTCACCATCATTTCTATATTTTGCATACAAGGAGCCAGACTTTCTTGTGATTTGTTAGGTGGACTTGAGCAATAGTTCTCCAGGTTTTCTGAAGGTCTTTCAAAGGTTTTCTTTGGATATTGGCTACTTTCAATCCAGTCTTTGTAGCTGACCATTTATATAGAAATGTTTTTGTTCGTTAAACCACTAAACGCTGTGCTGGGAATCATTCACGCATAAAAAAGGCACCTAACTCAAGGGATGAAGAGTGCTGTGTCTACACATAACAGACTACTTGGCAAATAACCAATTATAAGTTCTTTGTAAGTATCTTTGGGCGCTTAAAAAGAACAAAGACTTCTTTAGTTGAATCTACAAAATATAACAGTTTTTCAGGCAAATACTAGTTTTGCTCCAACAAGGTGACTCCTAAAGATCTACTAGAAAGAAAATCCAGCAAAGCCCTGATACAGGACCTGAAGGGTATACCTGACCCTTTAGCTCAGGGGTGTCAAACTCAAATACACAGTGGGCCAAAATTCAAAACTGGAACAAAGTTGCAGGCTAACATTAATATTTATTGAAAAAAAAATCTTCCTCCAGATATAAGAATGAATCTTTTCTTATGGATCAAATAAGTTTTGCTGGAAAACTGAATATGGAACAAGCAAAGCTTAATACTAAACGATATATATATTAGCTGTATAATACCAGTAGGCCAGCTCTAAAAATAATTTGGTATGGCTTCGCGGGCCAAATGTAATTAGGCTGCGGGCCAAATTTGACCCACGGGCCAGAGTTTGACACCTATGCTTTAGCTGATTTATTTAGTGTTCAAGCCTCATCAGAAATGGTTTTCTGCCCTTCTTAAGGCAGAAACGAGGAGAAAAGGATGAGGTATGCCAAATTACACAAAAACTGGACCAAAAATCAGTGGCAATGGGGCCAATGGATTGATGAATACAAATTAGAAATTTTGGGTACAAATCACAGAAAGGAACACTATCAGTCATAGATTGGCCTCCTCAGACCCCAGACCTCAACGTTATTGAAGCATTGTGGGCTCATCTTGAAAGAGAACAGAACAAAAGAAGAGCTTTGAATGTCCTTCAAGAAGCCCGGAGAACTATTCCTGAAGACTACTTAAAGAAATTACAAAAAGGTTGGCTAAGAGAGTTCAGGCTCTGTTAAAGAATAAATGTGGTCATACCAAATATTGAGTTTTTTTCCTTAGAAACTGTATTTCCGTGTGTCTAAATGTTTCAGTAAGTTGGTGCACCTATTTCCAAATTTCCTAGCAAAATTTAAAGAAATGAGTGACTTTTGCACAGCACTCTGTCTCTGGCACCAGACAGTAATGCAGGGAAATGAAATTTACAAAAAAAAATGTAATTGAACGTTAAAGGTATTTTATATATATATAATATATATATATATTATATATGTTCGTAGATAGTAAATCTGGTTTCTATCATGAATCAACATAAGTAGCCACATAGATATATAGAATAATCTGGAGAGCTCAGGATGTCTTTTTCCCTCATGGAGATGTTTCTCATACAAATGACTGAATCCTTTATGTCTAAAACATCAGAGGTTAAGAAATTCCCTGCCTCCATGTAGTTTGAAAAATGTTTTTGAGAAGTCGTTTTGTGAACATTTATCCAAATTAGATATCACTTACAATTTGCTAATTACTGCACATTACTTGAATATCACCATTATTTACTGTATATATGTTTCTTCCACGTAAAATGTACTTCTATTATCACTGATATTTTGTATTTCAGTCATTTCATGTATTTCAGCATTGTTGACAAAATTGCAGCCGGATTAGATCTTGATTCAGTGTTCATCTGCATTGACTTTAATTTTGTTTTTTGCTTTTGGGTTGTTTTTGCTTTTTTTTTTTTTTTGACTATGCTCCCTGGACTACCTCTGAAAACCAACACGCCGGGGTCATCTCTGGGGGAAACTCTTGGTTAAATATGTCTAATAGTTCCCATTAGACCTGCAGGTCATGTGGATCATGAAATTTTGAAGTAACTGTCAAACTAGTACTGTTGTAGTCCACATCACTCATCTCACTACATTCATATGACCATAAGTGAATGGAAGTCAGCCTTAAAGGGTGCCTTTTAATTTAACTACAGCTGAGTCAATGTGTGTTATTTTACAAGAGCTGTCTAGATATTTACTCTCTAAATGGGGACAATGTTTTGTGATTTTACTGATAGTTATATAGTTACATACAGTACTTGATCCATTTTCAACTCTTGAAAAGGTTGAAGTGTAACTTGAGAAATCAACTTTTTATGCCTTACTCTTAACACCATTTTGTAGTTATGTTATGTGTTGATGTGTCCTCATCCACTTCCTTAATAGAACTCACAAACCTGTGATATATATTTTGTTTTGATTCTTTACCTTGTGATTTGTGTTACTCTACGTCTGCGCATCACTTATTAATAAAATATCACCTATCAACTCCTTTGTTCTAGATTTGTACAACAAGAACATTTCGTTAGAAAAAGGTTTAAATAACTTTAATGTACACACACGCAGAGAGACAATCCTTAAACGCTCACAAAAGAATAAACCGACTGGGGAGAAACACTTTACTTAAGGATGGAAACACATCCAGCTTTGAATCTTGTCAGGAATGTAGCACCAAAAAAAAAAACAACAAAAAAAAAAAAAAAAACTCCCCTTTAAGAAAAAAAAAACGAAAAAACGAAACCCAAAAAAAACTTCCCGAAAAACCAACAAAAAATTTAAAAACAAAGAACGGAAAAGAATTTTTTCCCCTAAAAAAAAGGCAACCCACTTAATTTGTGTGCCATATGATAACAGTGCAAGATCATACGTGATGCTTCCCGTTGCCCTTCTCCACCATACATGCAACCGCTGCCGTTCCACGCATGGTGACGATAACCTTCATCAGAGCTCCAGTTGCTCCGCCACACAGTCTGGTTTCCCTTTATAGAGGCCAGCAAACCTCGCAAACTGATTTTATCCAATGGAAGAGAGCTGTTAAGCATTGAGAGCTTTGGCTACATCTGTGAAGACAAGACGACTGGGCCTTTGTGTTGTCCCTTGGGAGCTTGTAAGAGTCTGCAGGAAAGCGGTAGCAGGAAGCAGGAAAGCGAAAACCGTTACATTAAGATCATGTGATGACACAAGCTTTATAGTGTCATTAGTAATAAAAGACAGAAGGAAACTATAACAATAACTAAATTATTCTTTTCCCAGTAATGTTTTGCTACTTTTAGAACAATAAGATCACCTACACAGACTTAGCATTTTAGTTTTAGACTGTGATTCATTACTGAAACTAGAAAATTTGTGCCAGAGGCCACAGACCACAGATGATGTAAATCATAAAATCCGGAATTATGAAAATACTGGCATGTGTTATAAAACTGATTGATGCCGTTGTCCTGGTTGTTTTACACAGCCAAAATAAAGTTTTGATAAAAATATTAAGGTTTGAAAGCCATTTTTAGGCTTTCAAATGCATTTAATGCACAACATCAACAAGGACACAGTGGGATAGATTTAGTCGACATCTGAAAACTCTGAAAATGTGTTTGCTTCATGTGGCCCCTGGGGTAGTTTATGTGTAAGTATTTAGTTGAAAGAGTGAGAAGGAAAGGATGTGAAAGGTAATATGAATGTAGGTTCAAAGGAAAAGGCAGTATGATGTAGCGCTGTTTGTCCTCCATGTACATACTCTAATGCAGATTAGGTCAATGAATTAGAGGTTGTAGTTTATTTGAGCTACAGATACAAAGACAGCATGAAAGAATAAGGGTAGTGAGAAAAGGGGGTTTTAGAGAAATGGTTGAAACGACACACAGGCCATACTTTACCATTTTTTGCCTTTTATAACTATGCCATTGTCAAAACTTAAAAGGAATTAAAGAAAATAAAGAATTATGACAGCGAAAACACTAAACAGGAAAGCAACGTCATAAGAAAAACATACAAAAAATCTGCACTGAAATCTTCAGATTATACATAAAAATAAACACAAACAGTAAAAAAAGAAAAACTGTCAGTTCTACCTTGGCGTTGGGCCCTGTGATGCTGCCTTCCCGACCGTGATCCAGTAGTTCCTGTTCCAGCAGGTCATCTTGTTCTTCAGCTGGATCGAAGTTGTACATGGGCATGAGCTGGTGTCTCAATTTCTCCAACCTGTGTGATGACAGGTTAAAGATGAGTAAGGGGGGGGAAAGACTTTGAAATTAACATAATAATCATGTTGAACACACACTGAGCCAAACTTGGTGCCCTCTGTGTGATCCTAGTGGTACTAATTTGAGCAAATGATTTGCTTTTTTCAGGAATGATTATGCACTAGATCTCAATGTAAGCTTAAACCCATGAAATACCTAATAAAGATATGTTTTAGTTGAGTTAATTGATTATTTTCCTTTTGTGAAGACTCAAAACAGATGGTAATCCAGCCTTGCTTGGTTGTGGCAACTTACCGCTTCCGTTTCCTGATATACAGCATCTGGAATGGAGAAGCAAAGATATGACGGAGAAAGTTAAATAACTTTTATGTTTTATACTGTGTGAAATGGTTTTGAAGAGACCATGTTTAAATGATTCCTTACTATTGCCACTGCTAAGCCAATGACTGTGATGATGCCAAAAGGTACAAGCAACATTCCCATGCCTGAGCTCTCAATCACGACTTCTGGCAACGCGGTGGCATTCAAATTGGTCTCATTTGTCGTTATAGTCACAGTCATTAACGTTCTTGAGGTGATATTGTCTCTGCTTCCAGGACTTGTCGAGAGGAAGGGGATCGTGGAGGTTGTAGGGGTTGTGGCAGTTGTTGAGAAAAAACTTGTAGTTGTCCTAGTTCCATTTGCAGCCATGTTCGAGTGTAGCTGTTCCAACCGGAGTGTAGATCTTCACTATTTGTGTAGATGCTGTTATACTGCTCAGCTTCTAGTGTGTGTCATGATCAGCAAAAGTGTCTTCGTGCTGGTCCGACGTCTCCTGAGGCATCGATGGTGCTTTGGCCATAAGATCTGTAAAATAAAACCTAACACACGAAGGAGAAGCTGATAACTATTTTGCTACAATGAATCTGTAGAAGGTTTCATGTGATAAAATGAATTGAATGAACCATAACCATATATATGAAAATGCTTACATCCTGTTTTCTTATTGCTTTTTTACTCATGATTTAGTTAAATCTTTATTAAAAAAAAAAAAAAAAAAGCAAAGAATTAACATTTCACTTTTGGAACCCTCACCCTCATATTTAGTCAAACCATGGTGATTGTGCCAGTGGGTTGTGGTAGGTGTTTTGGGCAGGATGTGGGTCGTAAACGCACAGAAGGAAATCGGTATGCAGAAAAAAAAAAGCTTCATGAATTTCAGCGGAATGGTAAGCGTTCAAACTTCAATATGCACTGTGAGGAAATGTGTTGGCAGCGTATTCTAACATCAAAATCAACTTACATCCACCCACACACACACACACACAAACACACACACACACACACAGGTTCCATAAATATCCTCTGCATCCAAGACTTGGTACATGTACTATGCACATCCCATGAGAGTGCAAAGCAGTTTTTCCTTAAGATTTACATTATATGAGGAGTGCTAAAAGACGAACATGCTTTCCATTTAGTTATATGGTGACACAGAAAGGCATAGACATATGATCCATTCCTCCCTCCTCATCCTGTCTGCTTGTGCTCTTAATGAGGAACATGTGCAACTGAAGCCAACCAATGAAAAACAAAGACTGGATTCAGTCATTGCTCTTGTCCAGTTAGCAATTCCTACACTCCACAAAGACGGAGCATGCAACATTTTACATGGTCTTTGTGAGGATGATTGTATGATTGTATTACCATGTGATACGGATGCGTGTTATGTTCAGTTAACGTGTAGTGGATCTCAGCTGTCCTGCACTAACAGCTGAAGCTAATAATCCTGCCACCAGGACCAGGTCTTACTCATGTGTCCTCTCAGATTAGAGATCCATACGTACCTTAACATACAACATGCATGCTCAGAGGTGACCTGCGGCAGACTAGGGGCAGCTAAAGACAGAGAATTTTCACTGTAAGAGGCAACATTTGCTCCAGTATTTGCCCCTCCTCCTCCTCCTCTTCTGCTTCCCCCTTTAGCAATGCAGGTATTGGACAAGCTGTTTACATTGACAAAACAGCCATTTTCTCTGAAGATGGTTTCCACACGTCAAAGAAACCCTACCCTGGTAACCCCCAAGATCTTCCTTTCCAGTTCTTTGATAGCCTCCTAGGATCTACTCCCGTCGTCTTGCCCTTTCTTGTATTTCACACAGCAGAGGTTGCTCTGGGGATGCTGCAAACAGAGATCAGTGCGGCAAGCTCCCTCCCCCTTTACCCTGCAATTGGTCTAATGGCTTCAAGATGATAAATGTGGTTGGCTCCCTCAGCTGTCTGTTTGGCTTTGCAAGGATGAGAATGGGATTTAATGGGACTGCACACCAGATGCTGTCAGACCCGTGTGAATGACTGCATCCGGGTGGCAGGTCTGAGAAAATTAACCCTGTGATGTCTTCTGTCCGAACCTCAATGACCCGAATTCCCCCAGGAACACATGAACAGAAGAAGAAACCAGCAAAGAAATTAGCATTAAAATTTTGTTTCACTGGTAAGGATTTGCACAGTTGCACAAAAATCACCACACAGATAAGTGACTGAACACATTTTATTTTCCATTTTTTTTGTCGATTTTAAGCAAATCTGTAGATTCTTCAAGTCATTTTGAACAAGTTTCCAGTCATCATTGCCACAAATTCTGAAAAAATAAAAATAAGGACCCAGATCTGTGTCAGGATCTCCTCTTAGTTGGATATGCCTAAAATACCTCACAGAGGAAGCACCCAAGAGGGACCCTAGTCAGATCCCAAAACTAAATAAGCCGGATCCTTTTAATTGTGGACTATTAGGAGTTTCAAACCCTTCATGAATTACTGAGTGCCTAACTCAATGTCTAATAGACCCGGCAGCCACCCTTCGGAGGAAGCTCATTTGTAGATTTAGATAAAATATGTAAAAGCAATAATGACTTGATACACTAAACATTTTCTGATTGATTTGAACAAAATAAAATTAATCACAATCATAGAAATGAAAAAATATAAAAGAGAATGCATATAACATGCCTTCATAATCAGTCTCCATCTGCCTACATTGATATTAAACATGAAAAAAATACTAAAGACAAATTCCAATTAACACTAAGTGAAACTACGATGGCGTATTAGGGCCACATTAAGAAAATTATAAATTATTGTCCAATTTGAGAAAGAAGATGAAATGTGGAGGTTAAAGTTGTTTTTTTCAAGTCAAACACTGCCATGGCTGATATACCCTCTACAAAATACCTTGTGTATGATGAGTTAGTGAAACAACTTGATGAGCTGTCTTATTGTGTCTTGTGATGAAACACGACTGGATGAGAGTGTGACCATCGACACCCTTGCATCTGTCCATTTCCAGTAATTTTATTTTGCAAACCCGGCCAACTCATTCAAATTTGTGTGTTTTTTCCTTCTGACCAGAAGCAGCTTTCTGCAACATCTCTTCAATGGTGTTATACTTCTCACACTGTGTGTATGTGCTAAAAATAATAATAATTTTTTACTAATACTGATCCTGAAGTATGATTTCACTAGCTTGTCTACACAGGGCATTTTGTAGAGCATATAGCAGTCGTGGCAACTTTAATCTCCACATTTTGACTTTTTTCCTCCCTTTATGCTCAAAATGAACAATAATATTTTTATTCTTAATGTGACCCTAACACTCCCGTGTAGAAAACAGTCTGATTAGCATATCCATGCTTGCTGTGTTTTTCGCAGAATATGTTATAGCTTGATTTGAATTAGGGAACTTTTGTGCCGTGTAACAAGAGTGGAGAAGTATGATGTCTTTGTTACAACTTTGTTGTGTTTTACTTACTTGAGCGTGTTCAGGCAATATATTTCTTACCCTCTTTATCAAATACTCTAAAAGCAGCTCTGAGTTCAGAATCCTGGTTCTTTGTTTTTTCATGGTATAGAACCATGAGACCCAGAAAGCTTTCATAGTTAAATACTCTTTTTCTTGAAACATCGCAAAAATAATACATTTTAATCTGCTCCATGTGTGATTTTTATGCATATATAAAAAAAAAATCAATACATTTACATGTATAGGGGCTACATATACCCTTTTAATTACACAGTACACAATAACTACACCTAAAGAAGATCCTCTCCAAGCAATATATCTCCTTTAAAGGGATGTATTCTACAGATATATATCAAAATTGTGGGTATGTCTCAGCTTGCATTGGTTCAGACAGAAAATGGAGGAGGGAGGTGTAAAGAGAGCAGGGAAGACAATAGGAAATCGGAAACAGGAAAGGAAATTGCAATATTTCCTCCAGTTCTTCAGATGAAATGACACATAACATAACTAACACAGTTTTGCTAAGTTAAAGTGACATGAAAACTATACTTCAGCATAAGTTAAATCCCAGGAATGCAGTGTTTCAGTGCATCACAGGTCATATAATGGTTAATTCATTATATCATTCATTTCACAAATGCAAGAAACTTTTAAATCACACTAGGAACAATGAGCATTTCATTTCTACAAAAATTAACAAATAAATGTATAATTTAATAGTTTAAATGTTGGACTCTGTGTGTGTGTGTGTGTGTGTATTTTCGGTTGCTTGAGAGATTCGGCAATGCAAATAATCATAAAACCACTAGACACTTCTCAGGTTACACACTGTAAAACAATGCCACCTAGTGATTCACAGAGAAACCTGCAGTAAGACTGCGGCATACATAATGCTTTTAAATGCATTTTGGAATATTATTGTTCTCTGGGAAAGCTGCTTCATAAATCCTTAATCGATTAAGATGTGTATTAAAATTCTGGGCCCGAATAGGCACAAAGGATAATACCACAAATATCTTAAGATTAATTTATCAGATCAACAAACACCAAACAGCAATTTCATATCAGCACTTTTCCTAAGTTGAATAAGCCACATTATTGCTACAGCATTTTACTTGTCTGGTTTGGGCTGAAAGCTTCCACTAATGCGCACATTAACGTGCAGTGGATGTAGAAAAAGACATTTCTAAAGTATGTAAATAGAACCGGTTTACATGCAACACAGTATAATAAAGCATAACAACTGCAACAACTTGATTAAAGCTCAATCAGCAGACAACAGAAGTAGAACCTTAGAAAGTTCTATGTCCACTTGCTAGATAGATACAGTACATTGCAAAAGTCTTGAGCCATGCCATACCTAGCATATTTTGCTAAGAAAATGATGAATAGGTGCAGTGATTTATTGAAACATGTTCAAACATAATTTGAAATTTACTATATAAGGCAGAAACGGTGTTTGTACACTTGAGAGTCAATATTTGGTATGACCACCTTCATTCTTCCACACAGCCTGAACTCTCTTTGCCAGGTTTTCTTGTAATTTCTTTAAGAAGTCTTCAAGAAATGTTTTCCACGCTTCTTGGAGGACATTCAAAGCTCTTTTTTAGAACAAATTTTGCATTTTTGAGAAGAGCTGCTAGTAACAAAGTGCCCAAAGATACGTTGTCTGTTACATGTAGACACAACACTGGTTCACCTCTTGACTTTGGTGCTTTTTTAATGCTTGAATGTATGTTGAGGTGAAATGGTTTAACAAACAAAAGAAAAATTCTATGAAAATGGTCAGGGGCAAGAACTGGGCTGAAAATGAGTGAAAAAGCAGCCAATGGCCAAAGATTATATTTGCTATTCTTCAGTCTAAGATCACTATAGAGAACATATGGAGAAATTATGGGTAGCTCAAGAACTCTGCAGAGTAAGACAGAGGGTTTTTATTCCCATAGCAAGGAATTTTGCAGGTATCTTCTTTGTCCACATCTTTGGCCATCTGGATGAGCTCGCTCTTGGTAGGATTGATTCCAGTTAAACTCATCATCCTCTCTAGCTCGTGTGTCTTCACTTCTCCATTTCCTTCTTCATCAAACATCTCAAAAATTACATTGTATTTTTTGATCTGTACTTGTGATAATTTGCTGACCTGGAAGGAAATGAAAATGGGGAAACTTTTTAAGAAGCTGCAGTTTTATGCTGCCAACAATATTTATTAGAGGATTGTTAATCATGATCCTAAAACCTCTCATTTCAAGTTAGTCATTTTAGATATTATTCAAATTAATAACTATTAATAGTTAATTCTCAAGATAGCATACTCACCAATTTTTCAGGATTATATAGAAACGAGTCAGTGCAAGTACTGTGTGTACCAAAAACACTTAATGCACAATAAGAGGATGTCTTAGCCTCATCATTTCTAAATGTTTAATGCTCTTTCCCCAGAGTTTAGAAAAGCCTGCCAGAAGACCATTTATGGCACTTAGAGGGTGGACTTGCTAATCACCCATGAGGAATAATTTGATACTGATCTCACCCATCAAATGCAACACAGCTACACTGGAAAATAACTAGTTTGTATAGCTTTAAATTCGTCAAATATCCGTATTTTTAGAGAAAGTAACAGCAACGCAGCAAAATATTGTAAACAATCAGATGCATTTTTGTGTGACCTCAGTGTCACATGACGACACAGTTATGGGAACTGCAATTAGCTTAGTGTGGCCCATTAGCAGGTGTTTGCACAGCCCCCCGGTGACTTTTATGAAAGCTGACATCCAAATAAGGAGGCACTCAACTGCAAGATGTTATTTTCAACATTACAATGGGAACATTAAGAATTTAACATTTGTTAGCTGAGTGAAAGAGCTGTGTATCAGTGTACACCTCATTCCTCTTGTGAGCTAATTCAGTGCAGAGTGCAGAATTTAAAAGGACACAACATAGAAATCTAAATTAAAAGTTATGTGAAGCTATTAGCATTTAATATGTAGATTAGGTAATAGGCAATGAAATAATAGTTACTTTTTTTTAAAACATTACTACCAGCTGTCAGGTGAATTTCATGAGCTGAATTTACCAGGTTCCTGTCCTTCTAGTTAAGCAATTACATGACTAATAGATCATTGTGACATTTGCAAATAAAAATAATATGACCGGGAGAATTCACATACATTGAATTATAACTTACACAGCAATGTGGGAATACTTTTCTTTCTGCATCTGCATGTTGAAATCAAATAACTGCTTTCATTCATGATCAAAATGTAATATTAAATTGATACTGACAAGCCATAATAAAGATGGTCATGATAATCCAAATGTTATGCCATTTGTTTTTATTCCACAGGGTCACTCAGAGGTATGGTACTAAAGAGATTCTATGTATTCTTCGTTTTGCTGATGGCAAAGATTATAGTAGATAAATCCTGTCGTAAAATGTGAGTCTAACAAAAATAAAGAGGGAAAGGTAAACGCAGTGGCTTTTCACATGCTGTGTATTAAGAAGAGATTTGTCAAACACTATTTTCAATGTTACCGATTCCCATCTTGTCTTTATATTTTTATATATATGTGGACCATCAGTACCAATAATCGATTCAAGGTTTTCAAGGTTTAGTTATGCAGGGTAGTGATGGATGATGAATGGATGATGCGAGAAGGAAATGAATGTAGGAAGATCAGGTCTTATGTCATCTGAGCCTACTTTGAGCTCCAGATGGTATCTTGAAAATGGAGAGAAGGGAGAGTAGTCTGATTGAAAGAGGAAGGATGGACAAGATGCAGCGAGGGCTTAGATAATGAGAGGATGTGGTGACGGGTATGAATAAGATGGAATTTGTGAGGCAAGTGAGACAAAGAGGTTGGTAGTCGCTAACTAGGTAGCTAAGAAATTTGCCTGACAGGTGATTACATGTGGAACTTTAGTTAATGTCTTTACTACATTTACTCAACCAAATCCATTGCAGGTTTTTTTTTTTCTGTATGACATTCCTGAGCTACTTATTTTTTCTGGTATGGATTAATTGGATTGTTATATTCTAGTTTGTCTAGTATGTATTTCTTACATGAACTGGGTCCAACGAGTGTATTTGTGCATCAGATGACTGCTTAGTATGACTAAATTAAATATCAAAACCGCTCATGCCACCAAAATAGCTTTATTCTGTCAGGTCATGAAACAGGACCTCTGGGGGTGTCCTGTGGTATCTGGCACTGTGAAGTTGGCGGGGGATCCTTTGGGTCCCATGGATTGTGGGGTGGGAACAGATAAGGTTTGTTTCATGCCATCTCACAAATGCACTATATCTCACATGGGTAAAATAATGCTCGAGGGCAGGGATCAGCCTTGAACCATCTCAATCTAACCCCCGATGTCCTAAGAGAAAAGCAAAACAAATGCCAGTGAAATCAGAGTGTAATCAGAAAATTGCATTGCATCGCGGCATATGTTGAAAAAGTAATCATACGATTTTTGTGAGTGTTTTTTCCCCAGTTGCTTTCTTATTTTGAATCATGAACTTTGACCTTAAGTGCAATAACTGAGGCTTCCAGTTCTTTAGATGTTGTAATGGGTTCTTTGTGACCTCCTGGATGAGTCGTCGGTGCACTCATGGAGTAATTTTGACAGATTGGCCACTCATGGGAAGGTTCACCTCTGTTCTACGTTTTTTAAATTTGTGGATAATGGCCTTCACCGTGGTTGACTGGAAAAAAAATCTTGGAAATGGATTTGTAACCCAGAATGATAGATGTGAGTGGCTTTATCATCTATTCTTGGGTTGCTTTTGAGACCTTTTAACTTGCTATTTAATTACTTGATGTCTTGATTCTGCAGGTCTGGCAGTAATCAGGCCTGGGTGTAGCTCCTGAAATTGACTCAGTTTTCAGAAGAAAAAAAATGTGGTTACTCACAGTTAATTCATAATTTCACAAAGGGGATTTGGGGAAGTAGCTGGGTAATTATGTTTTCACGTAGGGCCATAGGGTTTGGATATCTTCGTTCACAGTTAATAAATGAAATAATCATTTAAAAAAAAAGTGCATTTTATCAACAAGATTGGAAAATATACGAAAAACTAAGAAATCGGGAAGGGAGCAAATGCGCCCCCCCCCCTACAGTACTGTACTGAAATCATGATTACCACTTCCTACTTTAGAAGCGAAGTTGGGGCCCTGTTTACTCGATCTTTAACTTAGGCTCCTTTGCTGAGAACATAAGCGAACACTGTGCTCTCTTAAACTGTATTGTGCTCGAATTAAATACGCGTGTACAAAATTAGACGTGCTAAACATCGCTGCAAGGGGGCTGATGATAATTGTAGCATCTCCAGTTATAGAACTCCAATCGAAGGTTCTCTCTCCCTCTCTGCTGCAACGTGGGGTTTCCCAGCGCTGACTGCAGGGTTACCGCGCCCATCTCATCGCTCGGTGGCCGGACAAGAGTGTTACTACGGAAAGGGCAGATGTTAAGCTCGGCAAAAGGGAGACAGTAGGCTGTCTTGTTGGGTGAGCTTTAGTGAATTTAAAGATTGGCTTTTTATCTGCCTGGGCAGTGCCTTCATTAAAGGGCTTTAGTGGGTGTGATTCCCCCCTCTCCGTCCCCTCCCCTCTCCGGTTGGTTGACTGAGGTTGTCAAGCTCCCCCAGCCGTAGCCTGCGTTCGGGAAGGGCTACTCCTCGGAAAACTACGCTAGCTGGCTTAAGCTAGTTAGTAAGCTAGCGTTGTGGTGTTCGTTGATGCGTGGATCGGAGATACACACCGTCCCGTGTTCCAGTCAATGCCCAAACTCAAAAACAGGCGCAAATTGAATCAGGTAAGGCAAAATGAAGCGACCAGCACACTGCTTTTAGAGCTGTAATTGTAACTGTTCTACCTTTAGCTAATGAATTGTGGCGGAATTGAACTGCCCGGGGGTGGGGTAGCAGTAGCCTAGCCTTCTAGTTAGCAGGGGTTAGCTAGCATTAAGTTGGCTATTTTGCCATAAGAGTGTTTGCATCGGTGGATCCCGGTGTAGAGTATTAGCTGCAAATTAAATGACAGAACTTAACTAGTATCCAAGCATCTGAGCAACGTTAGCTACAATTAATGTCGGAGGAAGCTTCTGGCTGGCGTTTAAGTAATAATGTTGGCCCAGCGGAGGTGCTTCTTGATATAAAAAGCATTGATAACCATATGATATAAGAGACAACTGCAGTAATCATGCTTAAATTTAAAGCTTCACTGATTGCACTGACTTACATTATAATCGAAATGGTATATTTAAAGATTTTGTGAGTTGATGATGACATACTGGGTTGGGCTGGAACAATAAACGTCCCGTAATAACAGCAAAGTGTTTTTCTTGTGATTAAAAAGAGTGGGTTATAGCATCACTTGTTAACTCTGCGCACGCTTCTGTGGATTAAATTGCAACACTTATTTAACGTAAATGCCATTGCCGCGTTTACACCCTGTTTTTACCAGCCGAGCAAATAAGTTAGCATATCGGTGCCTGTCTGCAACAAAACGGCCGCGTCGATGCAACGCCTTAACTCGTGTTGGGAACATTACTTATCAACAGCCAGCTAACTTGCAGGTTTCATGGATTTAGTTTATTTTTTCTTTCTGTATTCGCTTATTTTCTGAAAGGTCATTTGCTTTATGAAAAACACCCAGCCCCCCCCCCCTTTTTTTTTTTTCTCGTCTTGCATTTGTCGCTTGCTGGAGTAAAACAGGCCATCGCCGCCCGACCTTGCAGTTTTACAGTCTTCCCCCTCCCTCCGTCTGCTGCAAGATTAAAAGGACCAAATAAATTTACGCGGTAATCAAATTAACTTGGAAGTACTGCGTTTAACAAGATTGTTAGTATGTAAGTAAGTGGATCTCCGAAGGCCAATCCACAAGCCAGTTTTCTGGTTTACCCACTGTTGCTTAAAAGCTAACTACATAGCACCCTGTATAATTGCGGAAGAGCGGCGGAGTCTTCCCTGAAGTGACTGTGGTTACGTTATTTTGCATTAGATAATTCTGGCTATTTGGTTCGCGTGTTATGAAATTTTGCGAGTGTTGCGTTACATTGACTCTGCTCATTTCCAGGCATTTTTAACCCTTGTGTGTAACTGTTCTTAATAAGGTGACTTTAATTTTTTGAATATTAGCTCTGCCCTGCCTGCAGGCCTACTCTGTCGAGCTTGCTAACAAGCTAACTAGCGGACAGCAGTCTGCAAGATGGCGTTTAGCTGCATCTTCAGTGCAAGTCATATTATCTTTACACTGTGCAGCACTCAGTATTTTTGCCACCTTATTGTGCAGAATTGCGTGTAATTTCCTCCTGAAATGTGCGTGCAGCCTCTGTAGAGTAACCTACTAAACAAATTCAAACCAAAAGCGGAGTTAAAACAGCTATCCGGCAGCCATTCAAATGCAACGCAAAGTCCAATGCAAATGATTTCATTGTGGCTGTTGTAGGCAAATCACAGTACTGCACATAATGTCTGTGTCAACTATCAGTACAACCCGTACACTGTTGGTTAAACCTTTGCACACAAACACGTTAGTTCATGCTGTTGATTTATACTAGTACATTTTATTTCTGTCACAAAATCTGTATGCATTGTTGTTAAAACTACCAATAGTGTTTTGAAATTAATTGTATGTTACTGGATTCCTTCAGAAAGTAGTCCTACTTGTATCTGGTCACAAGTGCATGAGAGGATCTGTAATATGGTTGCGGTGTCATTGGAAGCTGAAAATCCTGGCAATTTCTCAAAGCAAGTGCCTGGATTAGTTGTGTGTAAAAGAATTAAGATTAATCTCATCCTTTTATGATTGGAAAAACATATTTCTAATGCCTGGACAGGCTTTGCCAGCTGTTTACATTAGTGGACATGGATAGGATTAGAGACTCATTGACTGAGGATTTTAGCTTTTAGGATTATGGAGTTGCTCAGTGATACTGCTGGTTATGGCTTTTTCTGTGATCCAGCTTTAGACCTGTGAAACATTGCATTATTATTATTATTTAACAGTACAGATAAGCCGGTATGTTCTTGAGAACAAATGTTTGTTTATCTAGTGAAACATACACATTTAACTGAAAATGTAGAAGACACCTAAAATAGCAGACACAATCTGCCCTTAAGGGACTTGAAAACTAGTGAGCTGCAACTTCAGGCTGTTTGCCACTGCTCATTGTTTATCATGCAGTCAGCTGACCCTGATCAGGCGCTTGGAAAGGAGAAGTGATGAGGGAGAGGAACTCCTTAACTGTAAGCATCCACAGAGGTCAACAAGATTGAATTTGTATTTTATTTTTTTAATTTCTGAATGTAGAATATTTAAAACTTATAAAATTTATAACATGACTTCAGGCTATTCCACATTAATATTTGCCACTGGAATTTATTTTTATTTTTTGGGGAATTTGGCAGTTTAAGAAAGAACAAAAAAGATGTTGGTGTCTTATTTCATCTGACTCAAGTTTGAATTTAAAACATTGAACATTGAGTAGCACTTTAAAACTAACAGCGTTTCATAGTTTAGTTGTGATAGATACTCATCAGTTTAACTTAAAAGAATTTAATTTAAATTCATTGGAAAGTTCAAAATCAGGCAGAGTTACTTATGTAACCTCCTTTTTCTGTAGTTGTTTCCAACTCTGTGTACTAAATAAAAACTCTTATGTTTTATTTTTGAGTTCATGGGATTAATTATACTTAAAGTTAAGACAGGAAACTCTACATTAGTGTAGTAAATATTTCTAACTTCAATTATTAGTTCTTTTATTTTTCTCAGGCTGAGAGAAGTTGGGAATATAGTTTTAAAATTATGTTTTAAGAGGTTTTCAAGGTGAGAATGGCATCCTGCTGTCACTGAATGATGCTTAATCATGATTACGTTCCATGACACATTTATTATAAGATTAATGAGCATAAGAGGATAACTTGAGTTAGAAAGGCCAACCAGTCAGACAACTTAAACGATTGTGTAGATAAGGTTGAGAAGACTTTCAGTCTTGTCCTGCAACTTCCAGTAACATAGGTGAGCTGACGGAAAAACACAAGGTAAGGTAACTAGTAGGGCAGTATCTTTAGAAACTTTACAATCATATTTAAATCTGTATTGCATTTTGTTTTTAATTTCTGGGTTAATTAGGTTTGGTAATGTTATTTATTTTTCACTTTTAAGCTGTTACATGTGTAACAAGTAAAAATTCTGAGTTTAACTTTGTGACCGTCGTCTTCAGTATCCGTATAATGGAAGGAAGGTACAATTCTTTAGAAAGAATTTGGCTTCCAAGCGTTCACATGTTCTAACAATACAATAACTCTTGAATCTGTAGAAAATTATGGCTGATCTTACATTTGGTCAAAACTGAGAGTGTTTTCTCCACTTCAGGTTGGTAACTTATTTACTCTTTGCAGTTCAATACAGAAGTATCCGTTTCCCATTTTAAATGCAAAGAGATGTCCCGTGTGCAGCTTCAGGTTGGTTTTGTAAAGTATTTTTGTTCACCGCACTTTCATAATTCATTAGATGGATTTTACCACAAGGTTATTTGTCTTACAGGATAACTGGAGTCAGTATAAGAACATTTGTCCAACTAATAATCCTCCTACTGACCTTATTATTAAATTCAATACTATATTCATAAATCCATTCCTACCTGTTGATTGCAGCCATCTTTTAGGTGTTTCATTCTTCTACCTTAGGAAAACCTTACTTTTCGTTACTCTAAGTATGCTGACGTGGACGTTACTGAAATGGACAGTTAACAAATGTTCCAACCATAACAAATTAAAATGGTAGATGAATCTGTCATGCTAAATGCAGTTTTAATTCAGTATTGCATTGCTGAGCTTTTGTCTTTTTCCTGATATATTACATGTGAATGAAATCAGTGTCTCATACAAAGAAACTGATTTCAGACACACTGGGAATGCTATATATATATATATATATATATATATATATATCTCTATATATATATCTCTATATATATATCTCTATATATATATCTCTATATATATATCTCTATATATATATCTCTATATATATATCTCTATATATATATATATCTCTATATATCTATATATCTCTATATATCTATATATCTCTATATATCTATATATCTCTATATATCTATATCTATATCTATATCTCATCAGTAAAATTAATATGTATATATTTTATTAGCTGAACTTTGAGCGTGCTTCGCGGCTCTGTATTAATATAAGTGGCTTATTGATCACTGAAATTCTGAGTATCCCAGGGATTGAGGTCAACAGGATAATGACTGCTTTTCGGATCACTGGAAAGTCATGCGTTAACAAGATTTGTCTGGCAATATGAATTGTGTGTCAGGATTTAGCTGGTGACATTGAGGTGGGAAAGTAAGGTTGAAGCATGAACTGCACATTGGACATATTGTAGGTAAACAATTTTTTTTTTTTTTTTTTGCCATCAATTCAATCAAAACAATCTCGGTGAAAGTCTTTATCCACTGCAGGTCTGTGAGCTGCGCTCAGACCCATTTTGCGTTTGTCTTAATTACAGCTTTGATTTTAAAATGGTTTGCTTAAAAGATTAAAGTTCCTCATATTTCCTTTGTTTGTGTTGCTTTTCTTTTAGAGCAACAAGTGCCCGTGGTAGCTGGAGTAAGGTAATTGAAAAAGCAGAATAAGATGAGTGAACTGGACCAGTTACGCCAAGAGGCAGAGCAGCTCAAGAATCAGATCAGAGTGAGTAACAAAGTATCACTTCTCCACATAAAAGCATACAGACGTTTATTCTGAAAAATCTGACAGCCCTTCCAGTCGAGACTGGTGTGAGATGGAAAATGTCTGACCAAAGTGTTGACCCCCCCTCTTTTTTTTCTTTTTTTTTGTCTCCTCAGGATGCCAGGAAAGCATGTGCAGATGCCACACTATCACAGGTAACATTTAACTTTTCATAGTGTTTGGGTTGAAAAACATTTGATGGGAAATGAACCTTATAGCACCTAATGTTTTACAGATCACAGCTAACATTGACCCCGTTGGCCGAATCCAGATGCGTACAAGACAAACGCTGCGGGGCCATTTGGCTAAAATATATGCCATGCATTGGGGAACAGATTCTAGGTAAAACCTAACAGCCAGAATATGATTTGTGGAGCATAGTGAACTTTGTGTCTTTCAGCAGTTTATGCATATTTGTCTATTGTTTTTAACTCTGGATAAAAAAAATAGATGCGTGACAACCCCTGGATACTGTGTTAGTGATGTTCATATTACTGTTCTTTTCTATTTTTTGTAGGCTCTTGGTCAGTGCCTCTCAAGATGGCAAACTTATTATTTGGGATAGCTATACCACAAATAAGGTAATTTTCTTCATTATTATTTTATAATGCGGACTAATGGAATAATAGGCAAATCTTGTGTTTAATCTAGTTGAGTCAGTAACAACACAGCCTTACAAAGCGCAGACAAAAAAAGTGCGGTCATCTTCATTCTGATTTTTAAAATGTTTACATAGATTGGATATTAAAAGTGATCTTGAAATTAATAAAACTATATAAATTTAGTTTACCTTTTAAGTTGTTCCTTTTGTACTATGTTGTACTTCTTTATGGGATAAAACAATTTTTTTGAACCTATGAGGCTATGTTGAATTGAAAAGAGGGAAAACTTATATTTAAAAGTGTTGCAGATCAGCTGAGCAAGAGGCATTTGTGCCCTTTCCCCTGAGGCTGATGTGTCTGGTGTGCAGTTGTTGATATCGGAGGAATGAGTACACTGTTTTAATGCCTAAAAGGTAATCTGGCTTCTCCACCAAAGACAGAAGTTTCTTCGGGATCCTTAAAAAGCTTTCTGACTTGTTTGGGATACTGAAGAACCTTTTGGGGTAATATAATTTAACATGATACTGTGGACAATGATCCAGCTGGTAATAAAAAGATTAAAGGGTAATTCTTCCAACATTAAAGGGTAGATAGAGGTTTGATTTGTTTATGGGATACTTTAATGCAAGGCTGGTTATTTCATCCTCTTGTTTAATTAAGCTGTTGCATTATGGTGTCCCTAAGCAGCAGATTATTGACTAATATCATGTTCCCATTGAAATGGAAAAATTACGGCCGTGATTTTTACAGGATGCTGTCTAATATCTCAACAGTGCAGCCTCTTCTGAGTTGTAGCTTGGGTCACAAGAACTTACTTTGTGATCTGGCAGTACCTCACAATAGCTTATTTTTATAGTTTAGACTTGAAAAGAATTTGGCAGTTTTTTTTGTTTTTGTTTTTTTTGTTTAGAAACCTCTTTTGTTCAGTTTAAATTTCAGGCCTAGGCTTGTCCTCGAAGGAACCATTGGAAACTTGTCAGCAAGCCACCAGAGCGTTCTTTGCTGTAAGCTTTGGTTCACTGCTGCAGTCAGGTTGTTGCGCTCTGGAGATTTTTTTTCTTTTCTCTTAAAGGAACCTTGTGTTTGGCTTCTGTCTAACTACTCTACCATAAAGACCTTTTTGATGACGTGCTGACATGATTGTCTTCCTGGCAGAACTTTCTAAACTGTTTAATCCAATAATTTTGACATAGGTCAACTCTACTGAAGCCCTACACACAAATTTTAAGGACACATTAAATCCAGCAGGACACAGCTGACTACAGCGTTGAGTGCTATAGCAAAGGGTCTGAATACTTGTTTAAAAGAAAGCTTGAAACTTTGAAGTGTAAAAAGTGAAGGAGTTGCAGTACTTTCTAAATTGTATAAATAAGTATTGACATTTATTTTATGCTTTATAAAGGCAGACTGACATTGTTGTGTGTTAGTGTTTAAATGCCAAATTTAGTTATTGTAACATTGCTCTCCAAAAGGTATGTAATCCTATTTTGAAGATTTTGTTTCTTTGACAAAATGGAACTTAAGTATCTGTGCATGTGTCTGTTTGTTACTCTATAGGTTCATGCCATTCCACTTCGATCTTCCTGGGTCATGACTTGCGCATATGCGCCTTCAGGAAACTATGTGGCCTGTGGTGGCTTAGATAACATCTGTTCCATCTACAACCTGAAAACACGTGAGGGGAATGTACGTGTGAGCCGTGAGCTCGCTGGACATACAGGTAAATGGTTGTAAATGTCTTCTCAAACAGCAAAGTATCAGTTAAAACATGCTTCTTTTGCCATATTGTCTATGTTAACTTATAGTTGGATTCAACAAAACAGTGGCATGATAAGGTGTATGTTGCTTTAAAAATTTGTGTTATGAATTTTAAATAACTGATCTATTTACTGCTAATTGATGATTAGTCGTAACTGCAAGTAGGGGTTAAATGTGCACTGCTAATTCTACATTTGTCTTTCACTTGTGTATTAATGACTTCTATTGACTCTCAATATTAGGATACCTGTCCTGTTGTCGCTTTCTTGATGACAACCAGATTGTTACAAGCTCTGGAGATACCACTTGGTGAGTGAAAAGATGACATTGAGTTCCGTTAATGAGCAGTTAACGTGCTAGACAACAGGCAAACTGATTCTAAATCCTTTATTTCACAGTGCACTTTGGGACATTGAGACTGGCCAGCAGACAACCACATTTGCTGGACACACCGGTGATGTCATGAGCCTGTCACTCGCCCCTGACTCAAGGTTATTTGTCTCTGGTGCTTGTGATGCCTCTGCTAAACTCTGGGATGTTCGAGAGGGCATGTGCAGACAGACATTTACTGGCCATGAGTCTGACATTAATGCCATCTGTGTAAGTTCCATACACATGTAAATACAAGTGTTTTGCTTGCTAAATTTGTTTCCTGTTTGTTATTTCAATCGATAATTGGACAATAATTATTTCTGTTTTTGGAACTTGCAGTTTTTCCCTAATGGAAATGCCTTTGCCACGGGCTCTGATGATGCCACCTGCAGGCTGTTTGATCTGCGTGCTGATCAGGAATTAATGATCTATTCTCATGACAATATCATATGTGGCATCACCTCTGTGGCATTCTCAAAGAGTGGCCGCCTTCTTCTGGCAGGATATGATGACTTTAACTGCAATGTGTGGGACACACTAAAAGCTGATCGTGCTGGTTAGTATTGCTGAAAAAGCCTTTTATCTCCTTAGTGTTGGTAAATCCCAAGAGCACTTTGTAACATCCAAATTGATGTGACCTGTATTTCCTTAGTGCACTACTGTTAACTAAATGACAATTATGATTGCTTATAGGTGTGTTGGCTGGACATGACAACCGCGTTAGCTGCCTGGGGGTTACTGATGATGGCATGGCAGTTGCAACAGGATCCTGGGACAGTTTTCTGAAGATCTGGAATTGAAGCCTGAAGGTTCTTTTACTGTTTGATTGTTTGTTTGTTTTTTGTTGGGGGTTTTTTGTTTTTTTTTTTTTTTTTTTTTTTTTTTGTTGTTATTATTATTATTATTTTTTTACATTTGTATCCAAATAAATGCCAATTTCCCTCCAAAATCCAGTTACCTTTACGCTTGTTCCACACTTGGTTGTTGTTTGTAATGGGACACAATCAGTGCTTGATCTTTGTCCATCAAGTTTTAAGGTCTTAACCTGGCAGAACATTAAAAAAAAAAGGCTAAACAGTAGGTCAGATTAGATTATTCAAACTTAAATTTAACCTTTCTTTGTTTCTCAGATGTTCATTTAACTCCAAAGTTGACTGGAAGACCATTACAACTTGAGAATGTTCACAGCATCTTCTTCAACACTGTTTAAACTGACTTGGACACCACAAAAACGAAGGGAAACCAATGCCTTTCCTACACAAAGAAGAGCACAATTGTTTATCACCTAGTTAAGAAAGGATCTCCTGTGGTATCAAATCCAAAACTTGTGCATTCCTTCTTGGACCATTTTATGTTACCTTGAAAGAGAAAACAACACTATCATCCCATGCAAATGTGTGCGTCTTGAAAGCAAATGTTGGAGTGTAATTGTACAAATTATTTAACTTTTTTCCTTTTTTTTTCTTTTTTTTTTTGTTTTTTTTTTTTTTCTTATACATTTATTCGAACAGCAGCTTCATTCGATTCATATCTTCACTTCGAGCACAATTCTTAGTTGTTTTAGATATGTTTGAATTACAGCTTGTCTTTCTAATCCAGGTGAATCATATAAGACAGATGAGAAAAACATGCAGAAGTAAAAAGCTTGGATCATATTACACGAGCAGCTTTCAAAATGTCCATGATGTATTTATATACTAGCTGTTTTTGTTTCATCACAGCCTTTTGCACATGAAGCTTTGCCTCTCAACTAATACTGTGTTAACTAACCAAGCACATGCTATAAGTTATGAATGCTCATTCCAGTACAGAAAGAGTTATTACCAGTAAATTATCCAGTTAAGCCCCTTAATTCTTGTACATGCCTTTGACTTTTGGTGGGAAGGGTTTGGTTTAGGGTGCTGAGGTAACTGAGGCATGGCTCGATTTTACTATATGAAAGGGGATTTGTGTTTCGTATCCACTTTGAGTGAAACACCTCACCTGACTTAATAGACACTTCCTTTGCTTGGGACTGCAGTTGCAACTCTGTGAATGAAATGTACAAAATCAATGTCTGAAAATAATGGTCTGTTTTAAGTTAAGACATTTAATTTTGTCTGCCACGAGTTAATTTAGATGTGCATGCTGTAGACTTGCTTTCAATGGTGCAAAAATCCTAGATTTTTCTTTTGTTTCCAAAAAGGAGAGTAACCTGTTGATTGAACTTAATAGAGGCCAATTTATTTTTGGCTCAAACTCTGCATACATACATCATGTACTAATACTGGTAACGCTATGCACCAGAATGAGCAAGAATGGAAACAGACTTATTATTGACTGCATACTTAATGTAAATTATGCTTACCAGTTCTATTGATGCCAATTTTGTAATAATTATAACAATCATTGTGAGAAATCTATTCTTGAAAAGTCCTCTCTCCTTCAAATCTTCACACACACAATGGAACAGAAATGTCCTCACACACTGCCCATACTAAAACTTTTTGTACACCCCCCTCCCCTCCATTGGTCTTAAATTGGAAATCAGAACATCTGAATGACAACATTTTCACTGTATACAGAAGCACTTTTGTTAAAGTTGTGACATATTTTCACTTTTTTCTTTTTTCTTTCTTTTTTTTTTTTCCTTTCTGCGATGATGTACAATAAATGTGATGTATTCGTGTATGGCCACAAGTGAAAATGCAATTCAACTGAGGTGGATTCCCTTTTCTCTTTCCATTAATATTATAGAGCTCTGCACCCTTATGTACCTATTCACTTTTTGTATTTCATTTCGGTCTGTTGGTGTTCCACGGTGAGCTGGATGCAAGATAGATACTGTACTAAATTGTACTGTTATTGATTGGAAAATGTAATAAAAAGCTGTTTGAGATCTTGCTTTGTGTTTTTGTGAGGGTTCTGTCAGAATCTTCTGATGTGCCATTTAAACAATTCACTGCTTTGTGCAGCTTTGAGTTTTTGGAGGGAGCCTTAAAAAAAAAAACTAACTTGTATGCAGTAATTGTATTGTGTTCACTAAAGAGGGACTGGATTTGTTTTTCTGACCTATGCAGAAGGAATTGTGATGCATCTGGATGTACAAATTTTTTTTGAGTTTTTTTAAAATTGTGTAACAGTGCTTGTATTATTACTCTATTGTCAGATTTCAGCAACATAATTTTATATGGTACTTTTTGTTTCCTTCCAAGGATTTCAAAGTCACTTTCATATGGCTTGAAGTAAAAATTTTCATTTGCACCCTGGTTAAAAACCAAGAAGGCGGCCCTGCTTCTGCTGGTGTAGATGTCTGTGCTGGTGGGGCTTTCACCGCCCTCACCAGAGTACTAGCATACCTCAGGTTCATGAGAAAGAATTGGTGTCCCTTCGTAAGTAGGTAGCAAGTGTTATGGCTCCAGGTAAAGTTTCCAATGAGATACACCAAGGTACCTGAAAGTGGAGGCCACTCCCACAGATGAAGTGCAGAGGAGGAGGGGAGTTGCCTTTTCTGCCGAAACCAATGATCATCACCTTTATTATCCCTGCACCAGCTTCCGTTGCTTTACCTCTTGTCTGTAGTCAGGCAATGTTGATCCCCAAACTTCTAAAATTGGTTTGTAAAACTGCTTTATGCACATGGAACTTTAAAGTTTCACTGTTCAAGTGAACAACATCCTATTATGGGGATAAGCCATGCAGAAAGACCAATTATCTGAAAATGACTTAATATTGAAAAAGCCAGTCTCTTCATCATAACTGGATTCTTTTAAGTTCACCCCAAACCGACGCAATAATGCATTTTACATTAACATGGGCATGACAGCTATGCTTTAGACACGCTCCAGTCTTCTGAAATTTGAAAGGCGGGGGCGCATTTACCTACAATTTAAAAATGTAGGTAAATACTTGTGATCCTAACTTCTTATTATCTGTCTGGCTTTCAAAGTTTGTATAGCTCATTCAAACCGCCATCTTCCAATCTCCAGCCAACAAACGGAAGCTGTTGTTGTAAATGACATACACTAAGCCTTATCTACTCCGTTTACGGGGGGAGGGGGGACAAAATTCACAATTAACTGTTAAGTTTAATTGTTTATTTTGCATTTAATCAATATAAACCAGTAAAGTAAAACATAAAATATTAGCCTTAGAATGCATTACGTAGGTACTTACTTACAACTGCTACTTACTTTTACCGACACAGACAGGACACCGCCCCCCGCCTGCCTGGGTGAAATGAAACCTTCCAGTTTAGTGACGTAGTTCCTTCTTCGCTTAGATAATGCCATTTTGCTTGCCTTACATGGCGCTGTTATTTTTCGCCTCGTGGAAAAATACTCGTCTGAGCTTTCCTTACTTTGCATGTTGGACGAGACAAGCGCTTTATTTAAGTTGCACCACTCCTCTGGGCCGAGCAAACTATTTTTAGGAAAACGTTACATCTTTTTGTTTAGCTGACGGAATTTGCGCAGTTTTCTTTTCAACAGGCACGTTAGAGCGGTCGTCGTCCGGTGTTGACGGCACAGATCCCCGTCCCAGCAAACAAAGGAGCAGTAAGATCGTTGCCCGCTTTTTAGCGCAATCTAAAAGTAGCATTATTGATTAAATCATTTGGATGTAAACTAGCCCCGACGCCGTTTTAGTTTTTTGTATTTGAGAAGTCTTTGTCTCAAGTATAATAAACAGTTTAGCCTGACTCATTCAGTCCTGTTAGCGTCATCGGCTAAGGTTAGCCGATTCTGTGGACAATTAGCGAGCTAACCGCTAGCATTGTTTTGCTTCTGCGAGTAAGTTTTATTTTTGCGGGGAAATGGCTGAGGTGTACATTCGAGTGGCGGAGGAAGAAAATGAGGAGCCCATGGAGATTCCCTCCGAAGACGACGGCACTGTTCTTCTTTCCACCGTGGCGGCTCAGTTTCCTGGGGCTTGCGGCCTGCGGTTCAGGAGCCCCGTGTCTCAGTGCATGAGAGGAGTGCGACTCGTGGAAGGGGTCCTGCACGCGCCAGAAAATGGATGGGGGAATGTCGTGTACGTGGTGAACTATCCAAAAGGTAAGGATTGGTGTTTTCCTTGTTCGTATTTAAACCTAGAGACTTTATCCGAACAGGTGGGCAGATATTATTTATAATTCATGAAGTAGCTTCAGGTTACTGAAAATAGATAAGTGACGTGACAAGTGACTTGGTCACGCCCACCAGAGTTCGGGCACTAAATCCATTCATTAAAAAGAGCACCAAAGGATTGATTTTGTTCCTTAAAGTCCTTCTGCCAAACCAAGTACCTATATTGCTGGACTTTGTTTTGAAGGGCATGATTATTTTAACCATACCATTTGGTGGTGTTTTTGTTTCGCCCGATTCCATTAAGGAACTTTTTAATTAAGATTTAATTAAGAGCTGACTGGGTTTCCACCAAAGGAATATCACCAGAACTGATTTTAAATTATCATTATTATTGTTCAAGTGGTGTGCAATTTGTTTTATTAAATGTCAAGGGAAAGAGGGAAATGCATAAACTACTAACTATATAAGAATTTTATATTTTGCATTTTGGTTGTATATCTTTCAAAATATTAACTCCCCCCCCCCCCCTCTCTTTCCATTTAGACAATAAAAGAAAAATGGATGAAATAGATGCCTCTTCTGCCGTGAAAATGAAGAGGGGAGATATGAAAACATCGGACCTGATTGTATTGGGTCTTCCTTGGAAAACGACCGAACAGGACCTTAAAGACTACTTTAGCACGTTTGGAGAAGTCATCATGGTTCAGGTATTACTTGGATAGTAAAACATTTGCGTTGATTTGCAATTTTTTATTTGTTTTATTTTCTTATTTTTGCTGGTGTTTTACTTTTTTCTTCTTTCATAGGTGAAACGGGATGCCAAGACCGGAAACTCTAAAGGATTTGGCTTTGTGAGGTTCACAGAGTATGAAGCTCAGGAAAAGGTGATCTCTCAGCGCCATATGATCGATGGGAGGTGGTGCGACTGCAAGCTCCCTAACTCGAAGGTGAATATGGTAATGCCCATGCATATACCCACACACTATGGGAATCAAAACTAAGCCAATACTGTGGTTAACAATCTGTAATGCTAATGCACCCTCCTTTCCTCTTTACAGCAAGGTCCTGATGAGCCACTAAGAAGCCGCAAAGTGTTTGTAGGCCGTTGCACGGAAGACATGACCACAGATGATCTACGACAGTTCTTTATGCAGTATGGAGAAGTCACAGATGTGTTCATTCCCAAGCCATTCCGTGCTTTTGCCTTTGTTACATTTGCAGATGATCAGGTAACGTATGAAATATGTAGAAGGTATTTCTTTCCTTCTTTGTTGGTGTTGCTTGCGTCCACATAATGAAATTTTTTTTTCTCCTTTCACAGGTTGCCCAGTCTCTCTGTGGAGAAGACCTTATTATCAAAGGAGTCAGTGTTCACATCTCAAATGCTGAGCCCAAACATGGCAATAGGCAGTTTGATCGCACAGCACGATTCGGAAATGGTTTTGGGGCTCAAGCATTTGGTAGCAGCCGTAGTGGGTTAGGGAGCAGCACTAACAGTAGTCTGGCTAATTTTGGTTCCTTCAGCTTGAACCCTGCCATGATGGCTGCTGCACAGGCTGCTCTGCAGAGTAGTTGGGGTATGATGGGTATGCTGGCTAGCCAGCAGCAGACATCCACCTCAGGCAGCACCTCCAGTGGAACGAGCTCTAGTAGAGACCAGAGTCAGTCTTTCAGTACAGGCAACAGTAACTACGGCACCAGCTCAGCCAGTCTTGGCTGGGGAACAGGGTCAAACTCTACAACCAGCGGTAGTGGGTTTAGCTCAGGTTTTGGGTCCAGCATGGAGTCAAAGTCATCTGGGTGGGGTATGTAAGTTAAGTGTTTGTATGGTAAGTACTGCGAGAAAGACGAGTCATTTCGAAATTTATTTCTGGTGTTGATGCGTATCTGAAAACTTAACACTTTTGCGTGAAGATGTTTTGTACATTTGGAAAAAAATGCTAAAGATTTAATTTAGGAAGTGTTGAAGTGAATTGTTTACCAGGATGTCTGAGAAAAGTGCTATTTTTGATGTCTCATTTGTTTGTATCCATTTCAACTGGATTCTCTAATGCATGTATTGTGAAATGTGATAACCATTTTTGAAAATGCATGAATGTTCGTGGTTCACCATTATCCGGCATTGTCATCGACCTAAAAGGCAATCTTGCATTGGGAAGAATCTGGTTGAAACATAAATGTTTTAAGTGCAACTTTATTTGCAGTCAAGTTCTATGGAAAAGCCTTCATTGAAATCTCTTCTGCAGTTCACCTCTCTTCCATTTCCCTGCGAGGAAGCTCCTCTTTGGCAGCATTCTTGGGGTGATATCGGTATCATTCTCCCTCTTCCCACCTGTAAATGCTATGCCATCAAAGAACGGCTTCACTCCGCATGTTCTAAGAGACGGTGGGTGTTTTCACTTTTATCCACTTTTACATGGAAAGAACAGCGCAACTGACATTTTAAGAACTGATGAGTGCGATTGAGGATGGCTTGTGGCGAAGAGTGAAGCGATGAGTGAGCGAACGGAGAGAGACGCGTGAAACGGACTGGTTGTGCAGTGAAAGAGCCCAAGTTGACTGCTTTCTGAGTGTGTGAGTGGAAGCTGCAGATGCTACGAGCGCCTCCCCTAACATGGACATTGTTTAATTAGTACTTCAAGATTTTTTTTTTTTTAATCTTTGCAAGTTTTTCCTTATTCTTAAGTATGTCTGTCAAGTGCAGAAATATCGAAATGTAGTGGAATGTTGTGATGAATATTTGTATTGCTTATATTATCTGATTTGAATGCCGTATGGTGTGTGCTCTCATGTTAATGAACTGATCTGTAAGTGTGTACTTGATGTGGATGACACCTGCTGAAGACACTGGGGGACGCGAGTGATGGTGTGCGAACGTGGAGTGGTGTGTCCAATGGTTCCCAGTAGATTTTGTTTGTGAGGTGTTTATAAACATGTCAAATGAAGGGAGTTCTCTAATAAAGTTCATTTGAATAGATGCTTAGTTGATATTACTTGAGTCAAGTTTGTCAAATCAAAAACCATCTAATTCGATTCACACATCTAGGGACTTTGGGCTCTGCTGGTCGAGGTCTCCGTTTGAACCCTGACTGAAGTCTGTTCTGAAGGAAGAAGATGGAAGTTCCAACACTTTCAGTGTGTGGCCTTCTCAGACATGGGGTAGTACCTGTCTTTTTGCTGCTTTTGATGGCTTGTTCGTGAATGATCCCCTTTTTTTAAATTATCCACACTTATGAGGTACTGGGAAGGTAAAACAGTCCAGCTCAGCAATGTGGCTTTGCTTTCCTTCAGCAATATTCTCTCTCTCTCTACTAGAGCTAATGTCAGGTTTCTGTGCCTTGGAATTGGGGATTTGTTTTAAGAGTCTCACTGAAAAACATGAAGGGAACAGTTTCTGTAGGGTCCCTTTGTCGAATGCTTTAAAAATCAAGTTTAATGTTTCATTCATACATGGTAACAAATCAGGTCAAAATTGTTACATGCACTAAAATTCAACATCACATTAGCAGATCCTGGGATGGAACTTTTCATTTATTTGCTCCAAATCTTGGCTACATAACTGTTTTGACAGGCACATGTCCCATGAAAGAATTAGGACTTTTGTTGGCTCTTGGCTTTATCAGATACATGTAAGTCAGTCTTCATGTTTATTTGATTGATTGGGCTCAAGTCAGATACCGCAGGCTTGCCTGTGTCCTGTCCTTATTCTCTGCTTTCCTCCTCAGTTTCTGTGTTCTTTCTCTTTGCAGTAGTCTTCTTTTTTAAACTCATGTGCTCCTGGGTCAGTTCGTCACTTTTATTTTGTATGTGGATGGACTGAAATAAATAAAGACAAATTAAACATTAAATTTGCTGTCTGCTGTAGATTATATATGCAATACACAGGTTCAGTAAACAATTATTTGAAATTATTTTAGTGGTTAACATTGGCATGACTACATGTTTGTTGTACTGTAAGTTAACTACAGAAATCATGTCACTGAATGTGTTGTTTCTTTGAATAACTCACCAAAGCAGTACTGCGGCGGGCTACAAGTTTCACATCATCTACAGACACTGTGCTTCTTTTAGCATGCCTGAAATGAAATTTGGGATTGGAAGCCACGTGGACATATTTGAATAGCTGCAGTTTGAGTAACACAGTATTTTTGGTAAAGTTGTTAATATGGTGCTGGGACAAAAAAAAAAAAAAAAAAAAAATGCTTACCTTGCAAAAGCCTCCAGGTCTTTTGCAAATATATCTGTTAAAAACAAAGAGTGAAATGTTGATTTCAGTCTGTTGCAAAACTGCATTAATGTTGACTGTTGTGGATCCTTGGTCCACTTGAGTTAGAATCATTTCAGATTATAACTCCATTCATTTCCATAGATATTGCTCAAAAGTTAAATAAAAATAAGGGAACGTGAGCACAGTATAATAAGGCATATTGCAGTTTTCAGGTAAATGGACCCTTTAGAAGCCATATCACCTTTGATGCAAATGAAAGGGAGAACAGGTTCACTAGAGGTGAAACAAGATGCCCCCAAAAAGGAAATGGTTTTGCAGGTTGTGGCTTTCTTCTTATCCTTATCTGACTGATACATATACGTGCTTCTCGTGATGCCTGTCTACAGCTCTGTCCAGCCCCCCTCCTCTGATAGCCCATCTCCTGGTTTCTCCTCCACACTATGCTTGGAAACAAAACAAATCTTGTGACAGACCATATGGATGTGCTAACCTGGACTGCCTGTGCAACCTAAAAAGGCTGCAGGTGCTGTTTCATGTTCCAGTAATGACAAGGACATCAACGAAAAGCAAAACTATATGTTAAAAATAAAAAAACAGAAGAGAAAGAGTGAGAGCGCCGTCGATGGTCACCACCTGTATTGCATTTTTAACTTGATAAACCTAACACACCACAACAAAAGACTACTGTACATGGACCAAAATTGACTCCATTATTGTTTTGACACAATTTTTGAATTCAGTGACAACTCATAATTAAGTAACTGCACTTTATTCCAGGAATGGGGTTTAGGGTAAGCTTAGGAAAAGTGTGTGTTTCCTGTTCTCTTTCTGAACTCAAGAAACCCAGAGTTCTCTTTTCCTTTTTGATGAAATCTAAGGAGTTCTGTAATGTCATTTCATTTCTACAATCCACACCAAAGAGCATATTAGCACACTGAGTTGCAAAGTTATATCAGGAAAAAAAGCTGAAATTGTATCCCCATATTTAGACTAAATTTTACATGCTTGCAAATTGTTGATTTAATCTGAGCCTGGAAGGAAAATTATACAGTCTTGATAATGCAAAATAATTTTACATGTGATTGGTCAAATCATATGATATATATATATATATATATATATCATATATGTTGAAATATGCTCATTAAAAACAAAGAGTGAAAACTACTACTTGAGTGTAACTGAATTACAAAAAAGAAGCAGCTAAAAACTGAATTTCACAATAATTTCATATGGAAAGGTATATTAAGTTTTCTAAACAATAACTGTATTATGGGTTTAAAAATGCAAAACTGTACATTATGAATCTGCATGATATTTTATATATCCGTTATTGAAAAATGTGTTCCAACACAGTGAGATAGAGCTGCTGCTAGGCAGGGTATGTAAATACCGCCACACTTTGTACTGATGTGCCAGTAAATTTTCCTATTTTATAACATATACCATCAAAAGATAAACAATGTTAACACACACACACACACACACTCTCACTTCATTATGTACACCATGCTATAGTCCTGTTTTGGACCCCCTTTTGCTTTCAGGACTGTCTTATTTCTTCATAGCATAGATTTAATAATGTGCTGGAAACACTCAGAGATTTTGGTCCATATTGACATGTTAGCATGATATAGTTGCTGCAGATTTGTCACCTGCACATCATGATGTGATTGTCTTTTTCCACCACATCCCAAAGGTACTGTTGGATTGAGATCTGGTGACTGTGCAGGCTATTTGAGTACAGTGAACTCATTGTCATGTTCAAGAAACCATTTTGAGATGATCTGAGTTTCGTCACATGATGTGTGATTCCTTTGGAAACCAGAATAATGCACCATGTCATACAATGGATATACTATTGGCATAAAAGAGAGGACATGGATATGCAACAATACTAACAGTACTAAGTACTACAATCAGTACTAACAGACTGACAGTTCATTCATTCATTTTCTACTGCTTATCCAGGGCCAGGCAGCAAAAGCCGCAACCTAAGCTGAGAAGCCCAGACCTCCCTCTACCTCAGCTAACCAACTGAACCATTGATACAAGACAGGATAGATCCATGCTTTCATGTTGTTTATGCAAAATCCTGGTCCTGCCATCTGTTCCAGCACAAATTGAGAATAAGCAGACTAGGCAACATTTTTCAAATTTTGTAATGTACAATTTTAGTGACTCCATGTGAAATGTAGCTTAAGTTTTCTATTCTTAGCTAGGGATGGGTACCGGTATCCAGTGCCATTATGGCACCGGTTCTGACATAAACGGTAGTAACCAGACCGAAAAGCAGCGCACATTTCGGTGCTTTATTTCTGTGCTTTTTTTTTTTTCTTGAGATGTCGTACACTTTGGATTCTAGCCAATCATTTTACCTTTCCAAGGATAGTAGGCGGGCCCAGGTATGTACGTTCTTTTAGAGCAGAGCTGCAGATTAAAAATGCCCAAGGCAAAGCAGTTAAAAGTCTGGCTGTACTTCACAGCAAAAGATGCAAACTCAGCAGCCTGCAACAAGTGCTTTAAGCTGATACTGTGCAAAGGAGGTAAAACCTTGAACCTGATGAAACACCTGGCGACACATAGCGTTTTTTTTTTTAAAAGCCGAGAAATGCACCGTATTTGATAGCTTGATGCAAGACCTCACACCGAGCACATCTACTGTGGGAGTGGTGTTATCGGACCCGGAGTTAGCAACATCCCCCAAAAACCGAAGAGGAGAGTCGTGGCCCCTAGCCCTGCCAGTGTAGCAGAAATGATGACGGATGATGATAGCAGCAGCAGCCGTTCTTCTCTGGGCGAGTAGCTTAATGTTGCTCGTGTGTAATACGTTGAGTAGGCTAATCACGTTATTACATTAATGCATGTAAGGTGAACTAGCAAACACCGTTGTAGTTACATGCGGCTGTCTTCTTGTTTGACAGAGTGATACCATATATGCCCTATAGCTGCAGAAAAGACAAACATTGTTATCTTTTTACAAAAACAAAAACAAAAAAAAAACAAAACAGCTAAACATGAGAGGTTTTAGGACAAAGTTTGTGTTTTCCATTGTTTAAGCACCGGTTCCAACCAAAGGAGGTATGTTGTATCAACAGAAAAGGCTAACTTGGTTATCATTTTGCAGAAAAAAAGAGACTTCTAAAAATAAAAACATAAGAGGTTTTTGGACAAAGTTTGTGTTCTCCATTCTTTAATCAAAGGAGCTTGCAAAGAAAAGCGTCTGGATTTCTTTAAGTTACTTGCAGACATTTCACCTCTCATCCGAGAAGCTTCTTCAGTTCTTAGGTCAAATGGTGGGGAGTCCCAGATTAAGTCAGTCCCAGGTGGGGAGTCTCCATTCTTTAAGCACCAGTTAGAGCACCGTTTAAGCACCGGCTCCATTTCAAAAGTACCGGTTTGGCCCCGGTATCGGATAAAACCTAAACGATACCCATCCCTATTCTTAGCTGACAAGAGCGAAAGCTGGTGTGGTATTCTACTGCTGTAGCCCATCTACTTGATATACTGTGCTGATGTGCTTCTGCATGTTAGTTGAAATGAGGGGGTATTGTGTTATTGTTGCCTTCCTATCACCTCAAAGCGATCTGGCCAACAAAGCATATTCACTCAGGGAAATGGGCTTCCTGTATATTTTCTCTTCTTCAGACCATTCACTATAAACGCTTGAGATGGCTGTGTGCGGAGAAAAAAAAATCACAGTAGTTTCTGAAACACTCGGAAAACTAACCACATCACGTTTGAAGTCACTTAACCCCTGCAATCTGATTGGCTGATTAGAAATCAGGTATACCTAATAAAGTGGTCAGTGAAAGAATATCCTCATTAGTTGAACACCTACCACACTGTCTGAATGTCGTCTCGGCTATTGCCGCTATAGCTTGTCGGCTGAACGGTCTCCGGTGGTCTTCACCGATCTTCTGGCAGAGACGACCCACTGTATAATGAACTGCAGCTTTTAACCTCTAAAACCCCAAAACACATCACGTTAAAACACATCATAACGGTCCTGTGTAGTAGCTTTCCCAACGTCCCTTTGTGTTAGCTAATATTAGCCAAACAGGCAATCAGTGAAGAGAACTGAAACACTTACCTGGTGAGTTTCCTCTGTATCCACTGACATTTTCAAGCAGAACTGTTGACAAACCAAACCGAAGATTTCCCAGACAACCACAACAAAAAGGAAAGTCACAAACTGAAGATTAACTACTGCTGAAAACACGATATGTAACCTGTAAACTGATTTTTAAGCTATTTGTTCAGAGATAACTGTTTGATAGCTACAAAATTAAACTCGCGGCATAAATGCGTCAACAAACCAACGAGTCCGCCGCTTCTTCTTCAGTGTTTTGCTTCAATTGGTATCCACAGTTTCCGCTTACTGCCCCCTCCTGGTGTTATTAGTCTTTTACATTTCAGTTCACTTCCAACCAGTGTGCTTTTTGTTTGACTGTGGAAAAAATGACGCCCCCATTGTTTGACTTCCCTAAAGGCAAGCCCAAACGTCTCTATCGCCCCCTGGTGTCTGGCTTCCGTAAAGGCTATTAACCCCACACACTCAATGTTAGCGTATGGGCCAGGGGGGTTAAGTAAAACACTCAAGTCCACCTCAGATATACATATAACAGACACATTCTTCCATGTTAAGTAGTTTGTGTGGTCAATGGGTCACTTCTCCCAAAAGTCTGATTTTAATTAATAACTTCTAAAATTGTAAAACTGTGGTCTGACAGGGTTATGATGACAGCTTTGATTGAGAGCTGTTGTCCCTGAAAATCTTGCTTATCTCAGTTCAGGAACTAAAGCTGTTAAGTTTACTTAAACTACAGGTTAGATGCTTTATTTAATGTTTGTAGAAGATAACAGCAATGATCAATGAAAACATCTTCAAAATGAACCAGCCAACAATTATAAGTAACCCTGGACGATCTTTTTCTGCTCATGACCTCATGAGATTTTGTGATACATTAAAAGAATGAAAGATAACCCCAACGCTCTTTTTTTCATGTCACAGAAGGAGGAAAATCAAAAAGGCTTTTCTGGAGCACTGATGGCACTCTCTGTGGACAGCGCCCTCCAGAAAGAAATCGATCAGCTCTCCACCTCCTCCTGAGTAATCACAGTGCACGATCATGCAGTCAAAGGAAGTACATACGTAGTTTACAAAGTCCAGGGTTTGAATGAGATCTTTCCTCAGCTTGTACTTCAATTGCCAATCAGCTTGAGAAGTCTGACAGTGTGTCATGCTTAATTTCTGCAACTTAGGTCACAGTATTACAGTCATACTGATCTGTTGGGCAAAACCTCAGAGAGAAATGCTGCATGTGCACACGTTGCATTAGTTTAAAAACGTCTAGTGCTAACATGATGCATGTGTGTTGTCTGTCAGATGGCGCCAACAAGGACACTTCAGCAGCGAGCAAGTCTAAACAACATCATGTATTTACTGTACTGGCAGACATGTTTTGGTTCTGTGATACTGGAAGCCGAAGGGCACCGTTGCAAAAAGTTAACACCTCCCCCCCACTTTACTATAAAACAATCATTTCTTTCATACGTCCACTTCTTTCCTTTATCTTTTTATAAAAGTTATTTAACCTCCCTCTACTTTTACTGCTTTTTTAAAGCAGAGAAATTTAATCTCAACATCTGTTAACACCATGTTTTAGAAAGTGAGAAAGCTTGCCATTTTCATTATGGCAACATGAAATGAATCTGTATGCGGAAAGACTAGCATTTCGTTTGATAAATATCTACAAAGGTAGCTTTAAATTCCTAAGAAAGCTTTAGTATAAAACACTTTAGGATTGTGGAAAGTGTTTTGTGCATCATTCTAAAATATAAAAAGGAAAAGATATAGTTTTTGTTGTGTTATGATGTCAGTTAACGAGACAATAAACACACAATGCACTTCATTTTGAGAGTTTAATCACATAGTCCTTTTATAAATTTGTTTGCAGACTTGATCCCCACAAGTGAGCTCCTGAAAAAGAAAAAAAAAAAATTGTAATTGAAGATCAGTTTTAAAAGGGTAATACAAACAACAAACAAACAAAAAACAGCAGGAGTTCAATGAATGGCATCAGTGTTCAGAGGGAGCAGCATTTTCATTTGTATGGTTACAGTTGTACACATGTACAATCACAGGATTGTGAATGTTATAAGTTAAAATATTAACAGGGACACCAGCATAAAGTTCAGAGTCATACCAGATGAAGCTCATCTCCCTCAAGCCAGTGAGCCCACCCTCGGTTTCTCTTTTCTCCTTTTTGAACACACACCAGCTTTTCATTTTCCCAGTTGACCACAGACTGTTAGAGTAACATAAAAAAATAAAATAAATAAAAAATGATAAACTACACAGTTTCCCCAATACTTAAACATAAATGGAGTTTACACTTTGTAAAGAGGCTGCTTTTGTTTTGCACCACTGATCACAAATCTAATAGCGACCTTTAAAACTGGAGGTTACATTTTGGTAACATTTTTACCTTACAGGTGCGGTTGTCCATTCCTTTCGTTACCTCCTCGAACTCCTCTCCGGTCTTGAATGAACACTCGTAGTTTCTTAAACTACTGAGTGTCTGAATTGTGAAGCAATGTCCGTCCTGCTTAATCACTTTCTGAGGCTTCAACATAGAAGCAATCTTGCGCGTTGCAAAATCAACACCTGCATGTCAAAATGAGAGGGATAAGTGACAACACTTTCTACAAAATGTTTACACTCCAAAAAGAGTAAAAACTATAACCTGCCATATATAAGTTTTACGTACACCTAAGTTCAAGAACTCTAAACCAACTAAATATGAGGTTTTCTACTCATCTCATTTTCTGCACGCAGTCTTCCAATTTGCTTTAAAAAGGGTGAAACTTACCAAGTGCAACCATGTAGCCCTCAAAATTGACATTGCTGACCATGTTCCACGTCCCACTGAGGTTGGCAGGCATTTTGGATGTTAGGTGGCCTCTTTGGAAGACGCAACAGCAGAATTTCAAGAGTGGAAGGATGCGAAGTTGTTGGGTGGGCTCTTTTTATTGTGTGTCAAATATGGGGTAAGGGTGATGCGTTGCTTATGCTCTAGTTAATTTGGGCACATACGCAGGAGGGTGGAGCAAGACTTTTGAAATAATGTGAGGAAACTATCCTGTTCCAAATAGATTAACAGCCTTGCACGACGCAAGGTTTTTTATTTTTATTTTAATATACTCAGCTTTATCCGTACTTTTACGTGGGCTTTGTACTAAAAGAGGACTTGTGCGCAGATGTGATAATAGCGTAAAAAGCTCGAGGTAATTAAATCTGTAAGCATGCACACCTGGAGTCAGTGTTTCTTTATGAATCGTAGTTTGTGTGGAGAGGATCGGCCTCACATCCAGCCCTGTATCCGCCCAGTTTCTACCATACATGGTCGATGCTAACCTCATGAATAGAAAGTTACCGATCACTGCTTATTTCTCTGTGCCAGTGCAGCCGCCATGAGTCAGTATAATGCAGTAAGCGATTAAACCCAGTAGCCAAGTATCAGAAGTTCAGGCCTGTGCATTCCGGGAGTGGGTGAGGGGGTAAAAGTGATGGCGAAAGGGCGCTGAAGAAATCTCATACAATTTCAGAGTGTTAGCGAGTTTTAACAAAAATAATTTTTAAGCGTCTAAAATGTTAAAACCAACTTTAAAAAAATTTAAGCATAACTTATTGGGGCAAATGTTCTGAGTTCAAGGAGTAAAAAGTGCAGGCTTGGACAGGATGAAATACAATCCTTCCTCTGGTCAACAAGGGCGTTTGGCACTTTAATACAACACGTGCCAGGGACAGTGTTACAGTACATACGCGTCTGGATGTGCAGCATCCATGTTTCTTTACTTGCTGGTCTTCATGGCATATCACAGCAGCAGATGGATACCAAAGAATCAGAGATTAAGATTGTAAGTACTCTCATACATAAAGATTTCAGAATGACTTTCTGTTTACTATGACCTTAATCTATTTTCCGTTCACTTCCCCCTTCACAGTCAACTACTGAATGTACTGTTCATCACAATTGTTCTGGCTCCTCAGTTCTACGTGATGGGAAGGTAAGTGGGACGCAGGCAATGGCATCATGCCATACAGCCCGCAGGTTACTCGTACAAGAAGGAACATGAAGTTAACAATGGTTTCTATTTTGGTTAAAGGCCCAAATCCTCAAGATACTGCAGGCAGCCCCTTCTGAACAACCTGTCAGCCTCAGTTGCTCTGTCCTTGATGGCTTCAGGTAAGTCCCCTCAGCTCAGCAGTCCCAAAGCAGATACTCTAACAGCATTTACACAGGTTTAATAGGAACAGTGATTGTTTTTTTTCAAGGTTTTGCAGTGATATTCACACTGACAGACCCAGTTCATCAGAGCTTGTGGGCTGCCTACCATGTGTTTGGTCTACTGTCATGTGGCCAAGGTTTGTGCACTACTATCCTGACTCTGACAGCAGCAGCATGTGTAAGAAAAAAAAAAAGCAATATTAGCCAGTTCAACCCCTCAAAAAAAACTCCTGCAGCATGTCAATGATTTGTATGTACGGTATGTTCACAGGCCAAAACCACCCCTGAGCTGTACTACATGTCCCTTGTCCTAACAGTGGTCTCTGCTATCAGTACAGGTGAAAGACAACTCTCCCTTTCTCTTGCACACTGGAGAATTCATTCATTCATAAAATCTTCATTTCGAAGGACTAACACCTGCTTCTGTCCATTCAGGTTTTTTCATGGTCAGAGGAGGACTGTGGCTAACCAACAGGCACTCTGTGACAGATCCAAGCAGAAACAATGAGTTATAAAACACTCCAGCTGTCCCACAATGATATGTGACACTACACATGTAAAGAATTCATGAGGGCTCCTTGCCACCAGCAGCTTGTAATTTTAAACCAGGAGAAAGAAAAAGGGAAAGTGACTTAATCCAGCTCACATTTTTTTTTAATGCACACTTCAGAAAAGCAGCTGTTGATTTTCTTTTTGCACCGAGGAAATGTATTCCATGTAACAATTTATTACTAAAAAAATAATATTTCATACAGTAGATTTGACATGATTACAAGCAATGGTGTGAATGTAAATTCTGAACTGGATTTTTATCTTATTACTGAAGCTACAATAAAGAAATTCTAGCATGAAAACTAAAATTACATTTGTTGATTTAAAGCCAAGGTGTTCAGGAACCCCTCATCTAAATGTTTTAATATAAAGTAACTGTAAGAATTACTTTCATATTAAAAAAAAAAAGAAAAAAAAAGACAAGTGCAACTTCCAGTTCTTTTTAATTTTCTTATTATAGACTGTATTGACAGACTCCCAAACATCATTTCATATGTTACATATCCATTCAATACAAATCACTTTGTAAAATTCTCAAATATAAAGCAGGAGGAAAGATATAAAAGTATGAAGAAGAAATCAAATCACTTCAAAAATGCAGAGGAAATCAGACTAAACTGCTGTGGCTTACTACAACAGAAAATCTGTGTTGCATCATATGAAATACAATAATGTATAATGTTGATTTACACTTGCCTTCAACCACAGGGTTTAACAATTTCTTTCTGGACCACCGCCCAATGAAAGACTTAGATCACTGATGCCCTTAATTAACGGTATCTGTAATTAACACAATCATTTTTTAATGTTTCCTGCAATGTTAACACACCAGTATGCACAAGCTCTTTAATCAAAATAATTTTAATGCTAAATATATGTATTCATCTGTTAATTTTTACATTTAATGCTTAAAAGAAAGCAGAAAAAAAACAGTAAACGTTGCAAATTATTATTTTTGATGAAGATGCCAAATTGCAGTTATTTACTTTCATTCATGGAGAGAAAAAATTGTTATAGAGACTGAATGTTAATTTGAATAATTGATATATTTCTGACTTCTCACAATTCAGTTTCCCAGCTGAAATTTGGAAATTAACTGTAAATTCAGTTAATCGTTTGCCTATTAAATAAATTTTTTCTGTATTGTCTTGTTTTTAAATGGCAGGTGCTACTAAATTTGTTAAACACCATATTCACAACAGACTAATATAGCTAAAGAGATGACGGATGTGTTTAGCATGTTTTCTTACTTTGTTCCTAATCTTGAGGCACAAAGACAACACCACTGCTGACACTTAGTGGAATTGAGCTTTTATTTAAAGATGGTCTTCAATAAAGAAACCAAAAATATGATGTAGTGTTAATGTTGTTTTCAATCATTTTGACTCAAAAGCACCTCCAGGTCACATTAATAGAAGAAAAATGTGATCTGGTATGGGAATGTGATTATCTCTTTAGTAAAACACATATTTTACATCACCTGATTGTGTATGTATGGCAGTACCACTCCACAGAATAAAGCATTCATCCAATAAGAGCAGATTATACAGTAAACTGGATATCTTTAAATTCACCTGAGATCTGTTATAATTCACACATACAAACACCTTAATTCATCCGTGTGTTGTAACTGTCTTCCAGCGACACAACAATCGTCTGCGCTGTGTAGTTTGCAAAGGAAACTTCATATATTCCTCTAGATTCCCACTCACTTCATACTTAGACTTAAATGATCAAAAATCTTCATATGCATTTCACACACACACATAAAAAAATACTCATATGAGGTTAAAACTTTTAAGAACATGGACCAATGATTTCATTAATGACAAATTACATACACTCAGCATCCCTTCTAACTCATTTCTGGTTTATAGTACCGTGTTAAACCTACGCCATAACCTATCCTTTGGCCTGACATGCACTGTCAACAGGTGTGACAGGTATGTTTGGTAATATCCTCTGTAAACACAGATTATTGATTAGCACCAGTATAATTCCTCTATTTAACAAAATCTAATAGGCTGTAATTGTATAGCTTGCTTATTGTGCTAATGAAAGTGGATACATGCTGTTAATCTTGTTTCCCAAGCTCCAACATAACTTTTAAAAAAGTGATTCTTTGCCTTCATAAACTCAAATAATTTTGAGTAAAATGAAACTAAAATATATAAAAATATATAAAAGGTTTATTTATTCATATAATTTATCATTAAGGAAAATATGCTAGGTGCTAGGTTAATGCTTGGTATAAACTAAATGTGTACCAATCAAGTAATTATGTAACAAATGCTTGGAAAATATACATGTAATCAAATTACCTAAAGTCAGCATTTTGGGCATAAATATTTTTTGGGTGCACCTGTATAGACTGAGTCGTTTCTGAACTCTTATCTACTTCCTGCGGTGCTGTAAAGCTAACTATTTATCAAGATTTCCCATATGGAAAAGATATATATAAATCTTATAAAGTTTGTATCTGTCTTGTGTGAAACTTGTATGAAAAGCATACAAAAATTATATAATGAAACTTGTATGTTTTGGATACTTACTAAAGCAATATATGAAAATAATGAGAAAGTGGCCACTTTCATGAGTAAATCATATAAGTTTTTACTATTTCTTTTCCATATGGGTTATTATCTCCAAGTCCAACATAAACGGCTCAGTTTCACTTGTAATGGAAGTTCAATGCACTAGCGTACAATGCAAACTATGTCCGCTCACTATGGTTGCGATGCAGATTTATTGCAGTGCAATAAACTAGGCTTAACTCTAAAGTCAGGGCTATCGTCACATTATAAAACACTTACACCTTACATTCACCTTGTGGAAAACTCCTGTTCCATTAGTCAAGCCTTACTGAAGACGAGCAGTTCTTTAAATGTAAGAAACCACAAACTTCTTCGCTGCTTCACAACCACATGGACACCAACAAAGGGCTGTTTTCAACAATGTTCTACTGATTTCCTATTTTGATCAAGTTTGGTCTATGTATACACTGTTATGATCTCAAACGGTGCGCTGGAGGGAAATAAATTAGAAGCCTGAAAGAGTTTAGCAGTTCTGCTCAGTACATGTGATTTGAGTTAATAACCTTTCCTATATGGTCCTCCTATACAGTGGGGCAAAAAAGTATTTAGTCAGCCACCGATTGTGCAAGTTCCCCCACCTAAAATGATGACAGAGGTCAGTAATTTGCACCAGAGGTACACTTCAACTGTGAGAGACAGAATGTGAAAAAAAAAATCCATGAATCCACATGGTAGGATTTGTAAAGAATTTATTCGTAAATCAGGGTGGAAAATAAGTATTTGGTCAATAACAAAAATACAACTCAATACTTTGTAACATAACCTTTGTTGGCAATAACAGAGGTCAAACGTTTACTATAGGTCTTTACCAGGTTTGCACACACAGTAGCTGGTATTTTGGCCCATTCCTCCATGCAGATCTTCTCGAGAGCAGTGATGTTTTGGGGCTGTCGCCGAGCAACACGGACTTTCAACTCCCGCCACAGATTTTCTATGGGGTTGAGGTCTGGAGACTGGCTAGGCCACTCCAGGACTTTCAAATGCTTCTTACGGAGCCACTCCTTTGTTGCCCGGGCGGTGTGTTTTGGATCATTGTCATGTTGGAAGACCCAGCCTCGTTTCATCTTCAAAGTTCTCACTGATGGAAGGAGGTTTTGGCTCAAAATCTCACGATACATGGCCCCATTCATTCTGTCCTTAACACGGATCAGTCGTCCTGTCCCCTTGGCAGAAAAACAGCCCCATAGCATGATGTTTCCACCCCCATGCTTCACAGTAGGTATGGTGTTCTTGGGATGCAACTCAGTATTCTTCTTCCTCCAAACACGACGAGTTGAGTTTATACCAAAAAGTTCTACTTTGGTTTCATCTGACCACATGACATTCTCCCAATCCTCTGCTGTATCATCCATGTGCTCTCTGGCAAACTTCAGACGGGCCTGGACATGCACTGGCTTCAGCAGCGGAACACGTCTGGCACTGCGGGATTTGATTCCCTGCCGTTGTAGTGTGTTACTGATGGTGACCTTTGTTACTTTGGTCCCAGCTCTCTGCAGGTCATTCACCAGGTCCCCCCGTGTGGTTCTGGGATCTTTGCTCACCGTTCTCATGATCATTTTGACCCCACGGGATGAGATCTTGCGTGGAGCCCCAGATCGAGGGAGATTATCAGTGGTCTTGTATGTCTTCCATTTTCTGATGATTGCTCCCACAGTTGATTTTTTCACACCAAGCTGCTTGCCTATTGTAGATTCACTCTTCCCAGTCTGGTGCAGGTCTACAATACTTTTCCTGGTGTCCTTCGAAAGCTCTTTGGTCTTGGCCATGGCGGAGTTTGGAGTCTGACTGTTTGAGGCTGTGGACAGGTGTCTTTTATACAGATGATGAGTTCAAACAGGTGCCATTCATACAGGTAACGAGTGGGGGACAGAAAAGCTTCTTACAGAAGACGTTACAGGTCTGTGAGAGCCAGAGATTCATGGATTTTTTTTTCACATTCTGTCTCTCACAGTTGAAGTGTACCTCTGGTGCAAATTACTGACCTCTGTCATCATTTTAAGTGGGGGAACTTGCACAATCGGTGGCTGACTAAATACTTTTTTGCCCCACTGTATGTGCTGGTTCATATATTTTTTTTCTCATCAACCAACAGTCCAATTAAAGCAGCTCCAAAGACATTTGTCTGATTGCAAGGTAGAGATTACATTCTTATCCTAAAAGTGCATCATAGTCTATGTACCAAACAAGGTTACCATTAGTAGGCTTCACACCAGTGACAGGCCATTTGTCTGGGTTGTCCTTCACGCGGCTCAGCTGGGTGATCAGCTCGTGTTTGCCTTTGCCCATCACCAAAAGGGCAACTTTGCGGGCTCGATTAATGACATTAAAGGTGAGGCTCATACGCTGGTGTGGCTTGGAGGGGCTCTCAGTGAGGGCCACCAGACTATCGCCAAGTTCATCAGCTTTGCCACCGGGGAACAAAGAGGCTGTGTGGCCATCATAGCCGACACCCAGCAATACAAAGTGGAAGCTGGAGCTGTTAACCAATTTAACGAGTTGCTTCTCATACATTAGCGCTCCTCTATCTTCCTCCACACATAGGCGCTGGTTGAGATGCACTGGCATGGGGTGGATGTTGTAATACGGGATTCTCACATGTTGCAGTAGATGGTCATGCAAGTTGCGGAAGTTGGACTCCAGTTCCGTCGGCAGCACGCAGCGCTCGTCCACCATCCAAACATGTGTGTTCCTCCAGGGGAAGGTGAAATGGTGATCGGCCAACCTGTGAAACAGAGCAAGGGGAGTAGATCCACCGGAGAGGGCGAGATGGAAAACACCACCCTCATAAATAGCTGCCTCTGCTGCTTCCTGAATATCTGCAGCGAGCTTGTCAACAAGCTGCTCGGCCCATGCAGACACCATTTCAGAACTGCGAAATTTACCTTGCATCACTTGGAAACCATTTGTGGATGTGCCACCCAAATGATCAGTACTGATTATCACCACCTCATTGTTGTAGCTAACGTCTTTCCCTTTCAGATGGATGTCCAGCACGTCTGCATTATCAGCACCACCTGGGTAGATGCGCGGAAATGTGCTGGCTAAACTGCTGAGCAGCGGTGTCCATAAGTCCCAGGAAGCCAACAGGTTCTCTGTACTAATGAAGCTATTCTTCTGTCCCAAAAAGATGTGAGAAATAAGTTCTGCATAAGCTTCCTTCTGCTCCATTGGAGTCTGGATGTAGAAGTCTGAAATAGGCAATCCAAAAACGTTGACGTCTTTGTGCTCTGTTACTTCCTTCCACTCACTGTCTACTAGAGCTGGCTTGAACAAATTCTTACTAACAAGAATTGCTGGATATTGAAGGCTGCCATGTCCAAAGTAGAAAACTATCTGCTTGGGCTTGCAGTGAACGTTATTGTGGTTTTGAACACAAAATATGTCATTTTTAAAAAGAACACGTGCGTATCCCACCCGCTCATCTAGCATCTTCCCTGAGATCAAAAGGATCGGCATGCCTTCATATTGTGCGTCATCAATCTGTGCGAGTACAGCTAAAAAATAGAAACACGAGTAAATATTAGCATCTAAACAGTGAAGGAGATGTAATGCAGCACACTTACAGCAGAATGTAAGGAGACAAACTTTCAGTACTTGCCTGCAAATGTTGGAGTGTGACTGACGTGATCTTTGGTCTTATTCAGCTCCTGCTGAACTTCTGCTTTGTAAGTTTGGTACTGACCGATCACAGCTTGATTCTTTCCTAAAGGAAGCATGGAACTAAGGATCTGCAGCTTGTTTCCAAGGACTTCCTCACTTCTGCTCACGTTCTTGGGAAGCCTCATGGTCAACAGTGTCATGACCTCAGTCAGGTGGTTCTGTAGCACATCCCTGATGACCCCATACTGGTCATAGAAGGCAATGCGACCTTTTGAGGAGAAAATAACAAAGACAGGGTAAGAATACATGATTCAATCACCAAAAAAAAAAAAAAATGTCTATGATTTACCCATGTCTCAAAATACCGTAGTAATTAAGAGAGTTGATAAACCCTTTAATCACCTTTAACATCCAGAGTCTCTTTCAGTACAATCTCCACTCTCTCGATGTGGTGCTTGTTCCAGATGGGATCAAGTAATTTTTTGTTTTGTATTCTAAAAGGAAGCATCTTTGAAACCACCTTTGGAAAAAAGGAAACATAAGATGTTTGGATTTAGATTCAGATTCATTTAAGAGTCAAGGGTGGAAGGGATGCACTGTGTAGGACTTCCATACCTGTTTCCCCAAGTAGTGGTCAATTCTGTACATTTCTTCTTCCGTCAGTGAGCTGCGAAGTTGAGATGCCAGTACCTGAGCACTCCCGTAGTCATGTCCAAAAGGTTTTTCAAGCACCACCCTCAGCCAAGCCCCACTTTTTGGCCTGCAACTACTATTAATCTTCTCAGCAATATCTGCATATGCAAAAGCTGGTACAGAGAGGTAAAAGAGCCTGCCTGCCTCCGTCATTCCCTCTTCTTGAAGCTGTTGCTCAATGTGCTTGGCCAGATCCTGATAGTCCTCTAATGACTTTAGTTGGCGATACTGTGCGAGCCGCAGAAACTGGTCTTTCAGCAGAGCACAGCGCTCCTGAGAAACATCCTTTGAGCAGGAGACTGCCTTCAGAATCTCAAAGAGCACTGGTGTGGCCTTTTCAGTGGGGGACTGTCCCCCGCCATAGAAAGAAAAGGTGTTTCCACTACTGACTTGGTTGATATACAGCTGGAAGAATCCCTGCCACAGGTACTTCTTCGCCAGGTCACCCGTGCCTCCCACTATGACCACCGAAACATGGCCAGGTCTCTGTGCTTCCTCGCCCTCCTTACCATTTCCTCCCTGGGTGCACAACACGACCAGGAGGAAGAACACAGTCAAAAACATTGTCCGGTCCTAATGGTCCAAACCCCTGTATGAACACAGCAATGAAAGAAGGGCATTCATCTCAGGAACACTATGCAATAGCAGATTATATTAAAGCTAGACAAAGTTTGCAGATTGTTTTCATAAGCTAATCGTTCAAGTGAATAGTTGTCTGTGTCTATGTGACAGCCCTGCAACAGTATGATAACTGGTCAGCTGTGACACACAGTGGCAGCCACCGTGGGGAATATTTTCTTGGCACACTTTGTACCAAGCATGTTTTAAACACCCTAGCCTACCTGAATATTGTTGCTAACCATGTCCATCCTTTTAAAAGCTCATTGTACCCATCTTCTCATGGCTATTTCCAAAAGGTTAATGTGCTATGTCAAAGAGCTCAACTGGTTTCTTGAACATTGACAATTAATTCACTGTATGCAAATGGACTCCACAGTGACAAGTTCTTCATCCAGCAGAGCACCTTTGGGATGTGGTAATTCACATCATTGATGTGCAGCAACAAATCTGGAGCAATAAAACCTTTACAGCACCATAGATATGCTATGAAGAATTAAGGCAGCTCTAAAGGCAAAGGAGGATCTGACCCGGTGCTAAGAAGATGTAACTAACAGCCAGTGGGTGTATTTGTGACATACAGAGTGCCGTCTGACAAGAAAAGCCCCCAAAACGGTCAGTTTTACTAACCTGATGCATAAACAAACAGTTAATCAGAATATTTGAATATTGATTTTCTGTTCATCAACTTTCAGCTCTGAGCGCTTCATAAAAGAAATTCCTCTGGTTACAAAGTCAAATGAAATATTAACAGAGACATTAATGCAATTACGCTCGTGATGTAATATACATGCAATGTCTGTCTTTGGTCATATCGACTGTCCAAAATATCATGTGCAAAATAATGTTTAAAGCATATCACTTAATACAGTACACAACCATCAACTTGTATGCCAGAAATCTAAGAAATATGCCAGACAACCATTTTAAAAAGCAACAGTTAGCAGTGGTAAATGTATATAAATAGAGCTAAAAAAACAACAACAACCCATACTTAGCAAAATCTCTGTCCTGAGCTTTTCCGAAGTCCCTTGAGAGGCAGAGATACTGTCATGAGTGTAATGATTACCGGATACTGGTGGATAAGGGGCGTAGCTTTTGCACTTTGCTCGGGGCGTTGAGCTTCCAGTACAAGAGCTGAGCTGTTCTTGGCGTTTTGGGGAAATCCAAATAACTTACTGATGATTTTTCAAGGACCTGCAAACATTTATTGAGCAAGTAACACATTTAATGGGAGCAAAGGGGATCCCATGCTCTGCTGGATGAACACAGGGTCACAAACTGTAATCAGAGGGGAACAGTCTGAGAACAGGCAAACAATCCGCACTCATTAATATCAAAAACACTGCTATCAGGCACACGAAAATCTCTTAAAGGTATCTGTTGAACTTTGTTTTCTCACCGCAAAATGTGACTATGACGGAGAGTGAAAATTATTCACAGTGAACTGAACACCAGCAGAAAGAGGCTGATTTTATTACGGAGTGCAATATCTGGAATCGCTGCAGCTTGCATGTTTGCACAATGCAAAGCAAACAGCAAAGGCCACCCTCATGAAGGCAGGCTGCTTCAGCGGCAGCTGATTTTTTTTGTTTTACTTTTTTTAGAAGTACTGCAGTCATCAAAACTGTTGGTACTATTTGCTTCTTTAGGGTTCTTCTGTAGCTCTGTGACACTTTGTTCCTCGTCAGTCAAAAGCTACTTTCATTTTCTTTCCTCTTTAAATCAGCACAGACAATCTTCCTTGAGTCTTCCTGACTCATCTATCCGTGAAACTCTTTATAAATAGCAAAGGGGAAAAACAGGGAAAGACTGCATCTTCTGTCCTACCGTGCACATACGATCAAGTGACTATCCCATATCTTATATTCAAAAACCCGCCAGGCACTGGTGAAATTCTGTGGACATGAAGTGCTTTTTCCAGGTGCCAAGTTAAACGGCATTAGACAGAGTCCACTGACGATCAGCACAATAAAAGATTTGTCTGACAACTGAGGAGTATTGATGAGGACTGGAAAAAGCACTGAAGAGATATCCTGTGTTCGCTTTCTGCCATTGTGGTGAGATCTGTCACAGTCAAGCCTTAAGAAGAAACTCCAGATCAAACTGCTATTAATACTATTTCAAACGCTCACTTATGGATATTAAAAAAAACTATAGAACCTATTCATTCATCCTATATTACCAATAAGTAATTTCAGTTACAAAATATAATGCGAACACCAAAGGTCACCTCATGAAAGGAGCTCTCAGTACAGCAGGACTTATTGAAATGTGGTCTGACTTTCATCTAAACTGCATGTAGAGACAAAACTCTACTCACTGGCACTTTATTACGCAAACCTTGCTAGCACTGAGTTGACTGTGGGGGGTATTTGGGTACAAAGAATTCATTATTAGTGTTTAGGAAACCAGCTTGAGATGATTTGAGCTTTGAGATGTGGTGAGTTATCCCACAGTCATCAGAAGATGGGTACACTGTGGTCATAAAGACACGGACATGGTCAGCAAGATTTCACAGGTAGACCACCTGAGTAATAAAAAGTGTACCAAGAAACCAGTTTCTGAAATGCTCACAACAACAACAATGTCACATAAATCACTTTTCTTCTCCCATTCTGATGCTCAGCAGGCCAGCCACTCCTGACCGTCCCTACACGCTTAAAAGCACTGAGTGGCTGCCATATTGGATTGGCTGATTAGATATTTTGAGTTAAGGAGCAGCTAAACACGTGCACTTAGTAAACTGCCCGGTCCATATGAGCACTTTCAGCAGCAGCAATCTGCAGGGGGAGTTTTAGATCACCCCCTTCTTTTTTCCTGAGCATTTTAAACGGCGAAAAAGCAAATACAATAACTAGTGCAGTAAAGATAAATGCTGCTGACGGAGCTCAGCTGCCACCAGCTGTGTAACGTCCACAGGGATTTGACCCGAAATTCACAAGCCATTGCTACAAACTGTAAAACTGTACATAGACACAGATGCTGTATTGAAGCCGCCTGCTTTCCACACAGTCGCTCGCCTTCCTGGCACAACAAGCAAAAAAAACCACGACGTCACATGAAGGGTGGACAACATGTTTATCCCACGAGTCCACCTGCTAGCTGTCCCACTTCACTTCCGCTACCTACACACAATACACACGGCTCTGCACGCGTCTCGGTAAAAGTACAGCCGTGTCGGCGCTACAAAAACACGCGAAGCAACTAAAGCAGAAATGTTCGCAACAGACGCACTCTTTAAAAAGTTACAACTGGAAACGACGAACCTGCCCGGTGGCGAAGACTACCGCGCGCTCTTCCTGTACCAGTCACGTGACACCCCTCAATCCAAAGGCAGGCTGCTAACATGATAAATACATGTTTTCCAAGACTTTGAGCTTCCTCTGCGCAGTTCTTTTGAATGATGCCGTTTGAAAACATTACCATGTTGACTAGCGTGTTGCAGGGTGTCATAAAATGCAATTGTAAGGATGGTTTGTTAATGAGTGTCCCGAAAACCTTGAGTTGAAGTCAAGGTTGACTGAGTTTACGCACTGGAGGCATTAAAACATCATGGCAAGTGTCAAGGACCAGACTCACGGTCAGAACCACTCTGAAACTCGATTTGTATAAACCAGCTTATATTTGGAGAGGTAAAGTAGGAATTAAACGGTTCTTTGATTTACCTGAAAATGTCATGTTTTAATTTTAACCAAATACTTTTATATATGTTTTAGAGTTTTTTCTTTAAGAATAACACACTTTAAAATCTGAGGCGGTCACAAAACAACATGTTATATTGTTTCAATCCAGCATGAAAGTTGAATGAAAACTGCTTTCCCCCCATTTTTCAATAGGCCTACTTTCACGTTAAAAAGTAGTCTACAATTTTTTTATTTTTTTTTTTGCATTATTGTAAAATTTAACTAAATGCCGTTCAGAAATTGGCACTAATTATCTTTTGCAACATGAACTTTTTTTTTTTATTATTATTAGTGAGTTCTCAAATGTGGGACAGGGTGGTTTTATGTCCTCCATATTTTAACTAGCCAGAAACTCACACTATAGATTGTAATTCACTTTGATGGTAAGAATGACCTGTCCTTGATATATGAAGTAAAAAATTTTACTGAAATTATTGTATATTGCCAAATATAAAATGAAACAGTCCCGTTTGCCCTTTATTGCACTTATATTGATTTCATAAAGAATCCACAGTTCAGGGTCAAGAGCCCAGCGCATGAGGATGAATATCTCACCGTGTTATATGACTTTTATCAGCTGTTCTGAGTCCCTGTCTGTTGCTCATGACTTGGTGGCAGATGCACTCTGCAGCGTTTTGCTGTAACAAGGGCGACCCCTGTTGGTGTCTGAGCGATACAGCTGTTCTACTCGTGTCCTCCCCTTCACCCTCTGAAAACTCAAAATACTTCGTCTCAGACTTAAAAATAACGTGGTTAAATAATCTGCCTTTCATCTGCAACTATAGAAAAATAGAATTACTTAATTAAGAGATTTTAACTGGATGGCATTCACTGCATTATTCAGCTGTCTCATGTCATCACGCCTACCTCGGACAAAGCAGGTGTCCTTTTGGCTGAATAATGATCTGATTGTTGTGGACCACACTGCCAGTAGTCCTTTCTGGTCCTCCCTTGTATTTTGGCTGAACAGATGTGGTTGTTTCAGCAGCTTTGATTCAGCGGGGTCATGTGTGTGTGAGTTAACAGCTAGTTAACTTCTCAACCTCTCAGAATCAGATTTAAAATCTTACTTTCTAACTTAGCTGGAAGTGTTTGTATTGCATGGATTTGGACACTTCTAGGCAAAGTACTTGTTAAACAATCTCACCACAGCATCCTTCAGTAGATGTTCAGTAGGAGTTTTGGAGCGTTTCAGCACAAAATCTTCCTAAACTACTTTACCCAAGGTTATGGAATAATTTTGTTGTTTGATCTGTTGTACCAAGTGTGAAATAAATAAATAAATGAAAATGAAATGAAAATGAAATTTTCAACCTCAGCTTTTAGAAGATTTTAACGTGTTATTAAGCTAGTAGTTAATAACATAACAGGGCTTACAGAAAAAGAAAAAATAAATAAATAAAAGAACCACCTAAACCTACAATTATGATTACGACAGGAGGCACACACAAACCAAATAACCTCACTACTACCTTACAAACAGCTGTAATGCCGGTGATCAAACCTCCCAAGTTGGCTGGCTACTGTGAAGTGTAAACAGTCAACAGGATGGAGCATCCTGTGTTTGTGTGTGTCACAGACTGTGTGTGTGCGGAGGGGAGGGGAGTGTGTTGCAAAAGAAAAAGAGCCCATGCAGAGTGTGCTAGGCCAGCTGTCACAGCTATAACCTCGACTTGAGAGCAAGCTGGAGGGCCACTGTCTGTGTGTGTGTGTGTGTGTGTGTGTGTGTGTGTGTGTGTGTGTGTGTGTGTGGGTTGCCACCCCACATCCCCCAGACATTCCCCACAACCCCTGGCTTCCTTCCTCCCCTTTGTTAAGCCTGCAGGGCAGACTTTGTCAAGCTGAGCACACAAACTGATGCATATGAATGCGTGCCGTCATCTTTATTAGGCCCCCTTGCCAACACCCATTACATTTAACACGGGTCTTTACTGAAGGAGATTTCACTCTCAGTCATGCTCTCATCCCCCAACTCACTCTCAGGCATGTAGGATTAAAGCAGCCGCAGTCTGGGAGAAATCCGAATACACAACCTGTTGCATGCTAATAAGGAAACTTAATACTGAGCAGTGAACAAAGGCTCATATTTTTTAAATGACTGGTTGTTCCGGCGAGTAATTTTAAAGTTGGTTAAGACTTGTTATTTGATGTTTAGCTTTAAAGGTAAATTTAATTACAGACGGTTTTATATTTCAAAGGTGAGACAAAATGTGTCAAACTGTATTACTTTCTGTTCTTGCAAAAAAAAAAAAAAATGCCCGTATTCTGTGTTGATTTTTCTGCAGCTGCTCTTTGAAGCAGGCAGTGCTGATTGATTGGGGCTAAGTCACAAGGAGACATAACCTATGTATGTATGAGTAATGTTCCTGTGTTTTAACCACATTCTCACATTTCTTTTCTTCATATTGCAAAACTTGTCTGAGCGTGTTCTTTCCTTTTGTTTCCAAGTGCTATGTTGCACATAACATAGTGCACAGAGACACCAGACACCCGCCCCAAATTCCAGTTCAGAGAGGCAGTATTTCCAGTGGTGGCATGTGGAGCTTTAAAAAGGAAAACACTGAGGACATCGGGGGGGGGGAATGCACAACCTTTCCAGATAACAGACAGTGAAGAATAAAGACATTTCCATAGCATCTATTCACTGTTTGTAAGACAGATAAATGGGTGTTTTAAAAAACACAACCCCCCAAAAAAACCTAATGTGAGATTACGAGGTTTTTGTGGTTTTTATTTAGTTTTCGGTGACATCCTGCCCCTTGCTTGTGTGAAGACATACATACTTTGTGCTCTTGTGCGGAGCTGAGATAACTCCTGTATTTGTCCGTACATGATTTTTGTTTAATGTTCTTTTCAAGCTGTGAAACACAACACACGCATGGTGCAATTTTTCTTCCATCAGATAAGTTAAAGGATTTTAGGCTCACAGAAACCCTTTTGAAAGCAGCACGATTATCTCAAACATGTCTCTCATAAAGTGGTAACTGAAACTGAAGTGATTTTCCTGTGATTCAGATTTAGTCATCTCAACAACCTCTTAAAAAAAGCAGCCGTTTCACTGAAACTGTAACCCACATGTTTAAGTAAACTACTGGTTCCATTTAAAGCCAGTTATTTTGACTATAATAATGCAGCAAATGAATACAAATTTTGTAAATGTATTTACCTTAATATTTCCATTTTATGTTACTTTGTATTTCTACTTTGCTGCACTTAAATTATTTAGTATTTTGTACAGTATATACTTTACAGCAATAGTAATTAGTTACATTTCAAGTTGAGATTTAAATACTTGGATGCTAGTACAGATCAGTCCAGAGGGTGACCCATATGCCGAAAGGCTACAGCAGGGGTCTGGGTTCAGTTCCGGCCCAGGCCATTTCCTGCATGTCATTTCCAGTGTTCTCTGCCCCTCTCTTCCTGTCTGCTTTACTGTTCTGTCATAAAATGAATTAAGACCAAAAAATACAACAAACACACAGGAAATAATAATGAAGAGTGGTTTTAAATTAAACTACCCAGTGGAACAAATGCAGCTCGCAAATAAAGTAAACAAAACAGTAATTTAATCATGTAAAACTGACAATGGTCTTTATTATGTAAGTTCATATTGTTGGTCATTAGTATTTACACTTATTTAAAAGAAAAAGTGATTTTTCACAGGACTCACCCAAGATTAACTTGTAGGACCACATACTGAAGCAATCACTTTCACTTTGATTTTATCAGTCTCTCTTGTTTCAGTTCGTGAGCGTTTATTTATGCCCAGCTCTGTGAAGGTTGATGTCCGGACCTTCACAGGGCCATCACAGCACCCTGATTCTTTTCTTTTTCAGACATTTAGCTGTTGATTTGCTGCTTTGGTTGGGATTATTGTCATGTTGCATGATCCACTTTTGGCCAAGCTTTAGCTGACAGACAAATGGCTTCATATTTGACTCTAGAATACTTTTCTATACAGAGGAGTTCACGGTCAACTACAATGTGCCCAGGGCCTGTGACTGTAAAACAAGCCCAAATCCTTATCCAGTCACTGCCGTGTTTGACGGCTGGTTTGAGGTATTTGCACTGATATGCTTTGTTGGGTTTTCTCCTACTTGGCATTGTGCATTATAGCCAGAAGTCTTGCAGTTAGTTCAGATGCAACTTTGCAAACTTTGCAGAGAAGAGGCAGTGATGCTGGGATGTCCACTTTTTGAAAGATTGTGGCAGTGTATTAACACACACCTCAGTGCTCCAGAAAACTGCCTTGACTTGAGTTAATCAAGTGCAATTTATCAGCAGCACTTTGCTACTAGTCTTAATTCCTATGGAAGCAGTAAGGATGTGCTTGGTTTTTCATAGAATTGCATAGAGTACTGCTACTTTATTTAAGTAAATGATTAGAGGGCTTCCTTCACTGTTAGGTGATAGACATAAAAATGCATGCACAAACGTGTGAACTCATCATTTCGTAACAAGGGTTTTGAGGGCTCTCACTGAGAGTGTGGTGGAAAACAGTAGGTGCATTTCATGTTAGTGCTACACAAAAACACCCCAGTGCTTTCAGTGGTGTTCCACTTCTCTGTTTGCTGATA